AGGACGTCTCAGCGAGAACGAAATGACTTGGAGGAGGGAGAACCGACGTTGTCTCAAATGTAGAAGTCCAGAACATTACGCCAACAACTGCCCAAATGGAGGAAATACGAGGAACAACATTAGGGGATCCCCAAACCCGCATAACTCACCAATTCCTAGTGGATCGAACTCGATCCCAACTGGATCCAAAGGGCCACTAGTTCGAGGAATGGCGGTGACCTTTGAAGAAGAGGGAAACGAATACCTGGCCTAAGTGATGCGACCACTTGCGGCCAGGATCTAACAGAATCGCACAAAATTCAACTACCAATAGATCTCAGTAATGACTCGGCTATAATATACATAAAGATACAGACAGAAAAAGATACCCTACGATTTGGAATGTTAATTGATACCGGAGCTACCGGAAGATATGTACAGCCGGCCTGTCCCTTATACCATTTGTTTCCAAAGAGACAGTATCAGGAACCACGGAAGATCAGATTCCTCGATGGAACAACCGCGACGTTAGTAACCGAGTATGTAGAAGCTGAATTGGATTTAGGAGAAGGACTCAAAATTGCGACTCGACTGGATGTGATGGCATACGAAGGACCCGAGGTACTGGTGGGATTGGACTTCTTGAAACAGTTTCGGGCAAGGATCGATTGTGGAAAGGGATTGATCGAGTTCGACGGAATCGGACAGGATAACGGTTGGAAGTATCCAAGATTGGAGGAAGGATTGGTAAGAGGAACGGCGTTGGAAAAAGGAGAAGATGAAATGAGCGAAGAAGAGATAAGACAAGTCATACCGACACAATGGCACCAATACCTGGAGTTATTTAAGGTGGAACGGGCCAGAAAACTACCACCAAAAAGAGAATGTGATCACGAGATCGAATTGACCCCCGGAGCAGAACTAAAACCAGGTCCAATCTACCAACTGGATGAACATGGGGACGCATTCCTAAAGCAGTGGATCAATGACGGTTTGGCCAGCGGCCATTTACGAAGGAGTAAATCACCTTATGGATCTCCTGTATTCCTGGTTCCGAAAAAAGGAGTGATTCCCTATCGAGTGGTAACGGATTATCGGGCGCTTAACAAGGTAACCGTTAAGGATTCATACCCAATGCCACTCATCTCGACACTACTCGATCGACTTCAATTAGGAAGGATCTTCACTAAACTCGATTTGAAAGGGGCTTACCAGTTAGTCAGAATAAAGGAAGGAGATGAACATAAAGCTGCCTTACGAACAAGATACGGCAGTTTCGAGAGCACAGTCCTAAGGGATGGGTTGTGTAATGCACCAGCCACCTTTCAGAACTTTCTACAAGACATGTTTCACGATCTACTTGACGAAGGGGTAGTAGTTTATATCGACGACATCACGGTATACTCCGACACGATCGAAAACCATCAGATAATTGTCCAAAAGGTGTTAGATCGACTACTTGAAAACGATTTGGTCGTCAGTCCGAGGAAATGCGAATGGAGTTCAAATGAAGTGAAGTTCCTGGGGTATGTAATAGGACACGAACGGATCGAAATGGATCAAGAAAAGGTGAAAGCTATTCTAGAATGGGGAGAACCCATGACAGTCCGGGATACTCAAGTGTTCTTGGGCTTTGCGAATTTCTATCGGAGGTTTATCAAGGGGTTTTCGCATATTGTGGGACCTCTCACACGATTGACCAGGAAGGATCAGGCTTGGAACTGGACACAAGAATGCCAAAAGGCTTTTGACGATCTAAAGAAAACATTCACCACAGCACCGGTACTTCGACATTTTGATAGAACCCGACCGACTTGGATCGAAACCGATGGATCCGACTGCGCGATAGGTGCGATAGCGTCTCAAAGATTCCCTCACCCATCAATAAAGGGAACCACCGAACTTCACCCAGTTGCGTATTGGTCTCGAGCAATGACACCCTGTGAACTAAACTACACGGTAGGAGAGAAAGAATTACTAGCCATCGTGGACTGCCTGGTCGCCTGGAGGCCCTACTTGGCTAACAGTAGTGATGTTATAAAAGTCATTACAGATCACAAGAACTTAGAGTACTTCCAAAGCAAGCGACAACTAAATCGAAGGCAAATGAGATGGTTGGAAATATTGGGAGACTTCAACATAGAGATCACTTACCGACCAGGTAGCAAAAATGGGTGTCATGAATCACACCATCACGTGTTCCTTGTTGCGCAAAACAAGTTCAACCTCCACTTTCGTGTTTTAACATTTCACCTCTGCTCTCATGCCTGTCAGGCATAAACTCCAAGTATCATTCTAGTATGTCGGTGCTTAGCTCCCATGCCTGCAAGGCATAAGTCCCCAGTAATTCTCTAGTCTCTAGTTCCTCTGTTCTAATGCCTGCTAAGGCATAATATCTCAGTCTCTTGTTCTCGCAGCACTTCTATGTTCTGCATAGTCCTTCATAGTTCCTCATCGACCACCTTCGACAAAGTCGAGCGACTTCCGGCGCATCCCGTAGGATGTCATAGTAGGACGTAGGTAGACGCAGATATGGCATCGTAGGATATCAGTGGTTATCGGTGGGATGCAAGGCAATGCATGCAGGACAGTGCAGGACGGTTCAGGACGCTCGTATTCCGCAGGTCTGCACGAGCCTCTTGGAAAAGGCTGATTTGTCTATATAAACCCTATCTTGTACTTTGTAGTCTACTTTAGTTCTTGATCAAAAGTCATTTCCATTGCCACCCTTTTGGAGTCCAGTCCAGTCCAGTTCCCTCTAACCTTGTAAGACAAGCCAGAGACATTCCTTGGGTCACAGTCCCATTCCTTGTTGGACTCAGTCTTGTTATCTTAAGTATATTCCTTGTCACTCCTAGTCCTTGTCCCCTTGTCCTTTGTCCTCTGTCCCAGGGTGGGCAGTATCCTTGACAATGGGGGAGCAGATGCTCTGACAAGACGAGGAGATTATCATCCGGGAAGAGGGAGTAGCAAGGACCCGGATCTAAACAAAGGCAACTGGCTACAATTGCTACCGACACACGAACAAGTTGGATCGAATTCAATGGACTCAGAACACAAAGGACCAAGACACATAGTAAGAGGAGCAATCCGAGAAGACCCATTATTCGGACTCATCAAGAACGGACTGAAAGACTCAGAAGACATAGCAAACATACGACGACTAGGACTACAAATGACACAGATACATAGCACACAGGACACACAGAGCACACAGGACACACAGAGCACACAGGACACACAGAAGACACAGATTAGCAACGAGACACCAATAGTATCTTGGACACAAAGCGGATTACTCTTGTACAAAAACAGAGTAGTCATACCAGAAGGACAAGCAAGATTAGAAGTAATGAAAGCAAGACACGATTCAATATTAATAGGACACCCAGGAAGAGATAAAACCATCACCTTAGTCAAAGAGGATTATTACTGGCCACATTTGGACGAGTATATTGCGAAGTACGTAAAAGGATGTGAGATCTGTAACCGACATAAGACTCATCGACATCAACCGTATGGACATCTAGTCTCTTTACCAGTACCCACACTGCCCTGGACAGATATCTCTATGGATATGGTGGGACCCCTACCAAAATCGACCGAGTTCGACGCGATACTAGTGATAGTCGATCGACTAACCAAGATGGCTAGATTTATTCCATGTACAACTGGACTAACAGCGAACAAAGTGGCCGACATCTACATCAAGGAGATCTTTTCAAAACATGGAGTACCTCGAACAATTGTATCAGATAGGGGAACTCAGTTTACGGCGGAAATTTGGAAGGAAATATGTCAGTTCTTGGGAATAAAGAACTTATACTCGACTGCGTATCACCCTCAAACAGATGGACAAACTGAGTGAGTAAATCAACAGATGGAAATCCTGCTCGGAATGTATGTAAACTACAACATGGACAATTGGGATCAACTTCTACCAATTGCTGAGTTCGCTTATAACTGTTCGCCACATAGTAGCCACGGTCTGTGTCCCTTTGAAGCCTGTTACGGCTATGTGCCACACTACGACATCCATTCGCACGATATTCGATCAAAGTCAAACAAGTTGGAGAGGAAATGGAGAGATATGGGAGAATTACATGCGGCTGTTCAAGAACAGGTCAGGATGGCTAATGAGATTAGTGCAGAATACTACAACAGGAGACACAAGAGTATACCAGAAGAATTCAGAGAGGGAGAACAGGTACTACTGAGTACGAAGTATCTTACGACGGAAAGACCCAGTCGAAAATTAGAAGCAAAATACGTTGGCCCCTTCAAGATCATAAGGAAAGTTGGGAAAAATGCTTTCGAATTAGATCTACCTCCATCAATGAAAGTGCACAATGTCTTCAATGTCACGCTGTTGGAACCATATCCTAAGGATAGGATACCAGGTCGACAGATACCACCCCCACCGCCTGTAGTAATTAACGGCCAGGATGAATTCCATGTGGAAGCAATCGTGGACAGCAGAATTCGACGAGGAAAGGAAGAATTCAAGGTAAAATGGTTAGGATACACAGGAAATGCGGCCTATGACTGGGAACCACGAGAAAATGTAGAAGAGTTGGCCGTTTTTGGTGAATTTTTGGAAAAGAGGAAGAGGGACCCCAGAAGAAAGTGAGAATTCGATCAAGATCAACAAAACTGGGTCAGAAATGAATGCATACACAGGAAATATAGCTACAAATAGAGAGATATAAACACACTATTCAATGGAGGCGTTAGAATCGGCTCGGGGACGACGGGCCGAAGCGGGAATACGAATGACGTTGCGGGGAAGAGGAGTATGGGGAGAAGAGGAGGGACCGGCGACTGGCTGAGAGGAACTCAATCCTGTAGGATCACCAGTAGAAGTAAGATGATCCAGAGTTTCATCGGCGGAAGGAGGAGCGTAGTTGGCGGAAATAAGATGAAGGGATTTGTAAAGATCCAGATGTTGAGAGGGGAGAGGAAGGAGAAGGGAGGTAAAGAGATGGATGTAACCCGAAAGTTGGGTCAGACAGGCGGGTTGATCATGGGCAGGAAGGGATCGATAACGGACCGAAGCCGCACAAAGCTCGTGCTCCAGGAGAAAAGTAACCTTGGAAGTGACCGTTCTTGCTCCCACAACGATACCCTATACATCAACATCGACCAAGTTCGAAGGAAATAGACAGGTACCTCACGGAATTTGGACTCAGGATTGTTGGTCTTCACCGAACATTTTGAAGTACCCTTAGCAGAGCATTCACCACACACACCACCGACTGAATTGCATCAACATCGAACGAGTCGCAGCAAGAACTTACGAGGGCCAATACAACCAACCCGAAAGTCTTCACCACCATCGAGACGACGTTGACAATCGGTACAGAGCTCACCCTCTAGCCGAACAACAGCACCATTTTTGTTGCGGAGGCGCCAACCTTGGGCCAAACGATCGAGCTAATGATTAGAATCGATAAAACTTGAAAGAATTCGAGACTTACAGCGTTCTTAAACCACTTTACAGTGGGCTTGATGGCGTTGGTTTCGCGGAAACGGTCCAGAGCTTCGTTCTTCAACGCGAGACGAACAGAGGGGAAGGTCATGCTGGCCCAAAGGGTAGCTAACAAGTCAGAAGCGAACAGAACTCGGTGGAATTCTCACCGATCTCGGAGTCTTTTCGATCCTCGAGCAACTTAACCAGTTCCTTGTTGACGGGAACCTTGCGAGGGGCGTGAAAGATGTCACCAAGCTCGTCGGGAACCTCCACAAGTTCGTCGGAAGCCTCAGAAGGAGGACCAGTAAGTTGCTTACCGGGAGAATTTGCATTTTCGACGACGGTAGGGTGTTCGGATTCGACGGATTTGGCGGGAGATAGGTTCTCACCAGTGGCAGATGGCCCAGCACCCCCTTCGAAGTCGAAATATTGCTCGATGACCTGGTCATCGAGGAACGATTGTGCTTCGCGAGAAGGACCGGATTGATACTTCTCCTTAATGGTGTCGAGAGCTCGTCGAGACGCATCAACCAATGGGGGTTGAGAGGAAGCGGCTTGGGAAGTAATTCTCATTCTTTTCGTTTGACGCATGAGAAGCTCGGGGTCGACGTCGGGTAAAGTTGCCAAGGTAGAGGCTCGAGTTTGACGGGAGGGAGTGGAAGAGGACAACTAGTCTCGTCAGCCAGCGAGAAATATGAGGATATACATCGAATTCGAAAGGAATTGCTTACAGTACGCTTAGACATGCTCACAGACAGGTCAGAGTTGGAAGGATGCTCTAAGATATGAGTAAGATATGGATGGATAATGATAGATAAGTAAAAAGAACGACAAACAAGAGGTAAAGAAGGAATGAGGAGGAAAGAAGAAGAAGAAGACAGGAGGTGACTTGGTCAGTAATTTCTCGATCACATTGGAGGTCCGTGCGGGTGACGCGTTTCATGGCAACCGTCACACTAGCGTAGGTGTGACGTCAGGGCGCCCCAAAGGTGTCTCAGAACAATCCATGTGAATCACTTAGTTACAGGATTCAGGATCCTCGGCGAGGATCCTTGAGACAGGGGGGGAAACTTGTTACGGGGTAACAACGAATCGAGGGAACTCTATCGAGTTCGACGGATTAGGATGGAGGAAAGCGGGAGTTGGAGGCAGTGCTGCAGTAGGTAGGGACGGGTTTTCCCCTTTCGAGATTTTCCCCACTGGGTTTGCTCAAAGCGGTTTTTCACCTGTCCGAGTATGTACGTAGACGCTTGCAGCAGGAAGGAGACGAGGACAAGGATAGCCGTAGACAGTATATAGTACAATCAGCAAAGTACCAACTTTGCTGATTCTTCAATATCATTCTTTGGCTACATCGATTGCAGAGGAGACACGATCCATTAGCACCAGAGCCCCTAGATTTCCACGAGACATCCATCGAGTTCGACCCAACCTGCGACCTAGTCGTCGTGTTTCCAGTACCGTTACAATAGGTCTAGTATTTATACTTTTCGAGGAAGTCCTGCTCTCTGATTAATGTCGCCTCAAATCAACCCATATCGACTTGTATCGACTTGTATCGACTCATATCGACTCATATCGACTCATATTGACCCATATCGACCCATATCGATTCATATCAACTCATATCAATTCATATCTACTCATATCAATTCATATCGACTCAGATTGACTCAGATTGACTCGGATCGACTCAGATCGGTGGAGCTCAGGGTTTTGGGTCAGGACCCTGCACAGGCTGGGTGGTGACATGAAGCTAGAACGTATCAAACAAGGATGACACTTCTGTAAGAAGTGCTCCCAAAGAGGTCTGATAAATATGAAATGCAAAAGATCTTGTGATCCTTGGGGAAAAAGGAGCCATGGAGCCAACAGGAGGGTTTTTATTGTCACGAATATACGACCGATGATGATGAAGCGGCAATTGCGTGTCTCAAACAGTCTTAAAGGCAACAGTAAGTTAGAGTAGAGAGTTGAAATCAAAGATGACAATTGATCAGAGAGACAGAGAAACAAACAGAGAGCTAGAACCACTATTTATAGACAAAACACCCCAAACTGAGCCTCAAACTCCTTCCTCTCCTCTCCTACTTCCTGGGGGAAACCCTGAGGAAACCCTGTATCAAAAACAGCATTTGAGTAGACCTTACAGAAGGCTCTGAATCATCCTGGAAGCCCCCAAAAGAGATCTCTTCATCAAAGGTTGAATTCATGAAAAGAAACACGAATAAAGGATCCATGAAATGTGATCCTTTGATACCTGAAACTCTCCTATGCTACCTGGATGAGCTCTGATCTTTCAGGGGGTTCAGAGGGTGTTTCTTAGGCACCCACATTATGCAGATTTTGACTCAAAAATACCTGGTTCAGTCCTGCGGGTTCGGTAGAGGTTCGAGAGGTTCGAATAGAGGCTAAATATGCTTAGTAGAGTGGTTTTCCTTCTGGTTCTCTCAGTTGAGTCGTTCGCACTGCTGAAAGAGATGAAACCTCTGACCATCAGTGCGTACTCCTCATCACTAGTGTGTACTCTTCATCAGTGGCGTACACTTCTCCATCAGTAGCGAGTGTGTATTGATCAGTAGCGTGTTTTCCATGTTCAAACACGTGTTTTCACAAGGCTATCCTGACGACCGGTTGACTGGTTGATTCCGTGGTTGACCCGGTGGTTCACCCGGTGATTGATCCTGTGATTGATCCGGTGAACCAGTTATTTGGTAACCGAGGGAGTCGTACTACCGCTGACGGACATACGTACTACCGTTGACGGACGTACGTACTCTCCTATGACGTCAGTGGCGTGATCGCTAATTAAGGTACCCGTGATTGATCACTAATTGAGGTACCCGTAATTGATGGCTAATTAAGGCACTAATTAGTAATTAAGGAATTGATGGCTAATTGTCGATCATTGATGATTCTGTTGTTTGTTGATTGGGACGGGTTCATATACAGAAATAGATGCCGACCGGCCATCCGGCTAATATTGCTCCCGAGGTACCCTCGCTTAACAGTTCGTCCGGTCTGAGCGGAACCGAGGACACGGAACCTGGTACATGTCGGCCGGAGCTTGGGATGACGACAGATGACAACAGATGACGACAGATGACGACAGATGACGACAGATGATGATAGAGGACGATAGATGACAATAGATGACAATAGATGACGGGATTGATGTATACAATGTCGAGTCAGGTTGCCACATGTCGTACGATAGAACGAGTTGAGACGATTTGGGTAAAGTTGACTGGACTTGAGTGGATGATATGCACGTGGTATTTACAGATATTTGAGGGTTATGACATTTATATCCTGCAGAACAAGACTATTGTTGAAGAGATCCCCATTGGGAATCTCACCTAAGTCTTCACCAGAAGTTCAGTTACGGCATACTTTGAATCAAACTGTGATATCTTGAATAATACTGAGGCGTAAACCTCTATTCTCTTCTGTGAGACTTCACTGAGAACCTTTCTCTCTGAGGAATGGGCCGGACCCTTGGATGGGGAAGTCATGATGAGTAGGGTCATGATAAAGACTAGGATATCGACTCGCGTGAGGCAATGAGAGCGGCCGTCAGGGTTCTAGTCTGTTAAATTAGCCCAATCCGGCCATGAAAATTTTCTTTTCCTCTTCATCTCTTCATCGCCACAATGTGGAGAAAGGGTTTAAAACTTACTGGAGATGTCACTTTGCCTGCTTCTCCTCGAGTCAAGACTCCTGGGTCTCAACACGGAGTTGCAGGTGGAGTGATTGAGCCACCAAACTCTTCTGGAGTCAAGACTACTAAGTCTCAACTCAAAGCTGTATTGGAAGACAAAGTCCTACCAAAAGTCGTATCAAAAGCCGTACCCGTACCGAACGTTGTATCGAGAGTCGAAGGAAGAGTCGAAGGACGAGTCGAAGGAAGAGTCGAAGGGAGAGTCGAAGGGAATTTACCAAATGTCCTATCAAAAGTCGTACCTGTACGGAACGTTGTATCGAGAGTCAAAGGGAGTAGACCAAAAGTCGTACCCGTCCCAAATGTCCTATTGAAAGTTGTACCGGTACCGAACGTCATACCAAGAGTTGAAGGGAGAGTCGAAGGGAATTTACCAGAAGTCCTATCGAAAGTTGTCCCTGTACCGAACGTTGTATTGAGAGTTAAAGGGAGAGTCAAAGGGAATTTACCAGAAGTCCTATCGAAAGTCGTACCCGTACCGAACGTCGTATCAAGAGTTGAAGGGAGAGTCAAAGGGAATTTTGAAGCAAAAGTGGAGGGGAGACTCAAAAGGAAATTTGAGGGAAGAGTTGAAGGAAGACTTGAAGGGAGAGTAGAAGGGGAATCTGGAGAAGTCAGAACAACGGAAGGGAGTGTTGAAGGGACAGTCAACAGTGAAGTAATAGGGAAACAGACCAAGCGTCGCCAGTCTCGAGCTGAGAAGGAATATCACAAAGAGGGTCAGAACATGAGAAAGCGTTGGGTCAGGAAGCTAAAAGACCTCAGTGAGTCCGCTACGAATACATTTTACCCTTGCGTTTAAATCGACTGACCTCTCAGTTCCGGTTCATCTCAAAGCACCCAAACATGTCTGGATGCAGGCGCTATACCATCTTAAACAGAATGACGGACAAAATGCAGTCAGAGAATGGGCTGAGACCCACCAAGAGTCCCTCTCCATTTATCGACTTGCTCCTCCACCAACTCCCTTTCTCATTCCACTCCCTGCCAATACCTCACACATCCAAGTCAAGAACCTTGTCATACATATTCCGGACGCTTTTTCCACAGAGGTTGAGAGGAAGATACTAGAGGCATGGGATTCCGCAAAAGCAGTGAGTCGGAACCAATATGCATTCCGTCCAAGTTGATGCTGACTCTCCAGGCAAAACCTAAGGGGTATTCCGGCTGTAATGCACGTCACGCTTCCAATAAGGACGAACATACCGATGATATTATTTACCAACAAGTCCTACATCTACTTGAATGGAAGCGATATAGCAAGGATATTTTTACCACTCGTGATACTAAGCAGAAGGAGGATGAAGAAGCTATTTATCAGCTCCTGCTACTCTGTTCAACCATTGCCAAGCTTCTGGGACCCCGGGCGAAAGCCTTGCTTCAGCAACTTGATTCTGGCGCGCTAAGACCAATCATAGAGTGAGTCGTGACTCTTACCCAAGCAGATACCATGGCTAACCTCTAGATACCTGCATGAAAGGGTGAATGCCCCAAGACCGGAACTTGAGGATGCGCTGAACAGGCTCAAATTGTCACATCCTACCTACCCCAACCCATTTCTCCTGCGTATTGCAACTTTCTTGGCTGTGACAGAAAGAGTTGGAGAAGTATTTCATCTTGATTTTGGGGACTCAATCAGGACACATTCTCTCTTAGCACCCATGGGGAAGTGGACTTCAGGTGGGGAATTGCACATTCCATCCATTGGTCTGTTTCATCAACTTCCCCCTCGTTCCGCCACTTTTTTCTGCTCCACCTTCCTACCCCACAAAGTGATGCCGGTTGCTGGAGGAAGACGACTTTCTCTGACCCTATCCACATGTTCTAATGCACTTGAACGTGTTCTAGACCAATCACCGTAATTTGTAAGGCAAAAAACATGACATTGGTGATATAAAATTATGTGATCAAGATACTCATGCAAGATACTCATGCATGGAATGGAAGTGCCCTCCTTCTCATCTCATCCTGTTTTGCAAACCTACGGGTTGTCCCTCCATCCCTGTTCCTCTCTTGGCCGCCCAATCGCTCTACAGCAAATCCTGGTCGAAATGCCAAACCTTTTAGGCTTTTTACTCTGGATACGGCAACAAATGTCAACCCAGCAGCAAACTCTCGAGATCCAAGGTTGATACAAGCTTGACTCAATGTCATACCTTGGGATTTGTGTATGGTGATAGCATATGCCACTTGTAAGGGGAGCTGTGTTCGGGAACAACGTGACCCACCAGGAGCCTCCCATGTAGACATCACAGGGGTGATTGGTACCAATGGAATCCCTTCTGTATCATACCAATTTGTGGGGCCCAAGTAGGATGGGACTGCCACCATGACAACACACGGCATTCCTATTCCGGGCTCCTCACACTCCAACAAACCAATGGAGTGTAAAACCCCACATGTACCATTTGTAAGCCCTTGTGCGGTCCATATATTTCTTGTAAGCATAACTCTTGCGCCAACCATCAGATAAATCACACGAGCTAATCCCTCCGCCTGTTCTTCCGATGCCTTCTTGGCTCCAAATCCTACATGATGTGCAGGCACCCGTATAACTGGCTTCTGTGCACCCAACAGCTCTCTCACGTTGATGTCTGCCACAGTAGACGTTTCCGAACAGAGGTGAGTTGCTGATCTAAACTCCTGCTGCTCCATGGGTGTGAACCAATCCCAGAACCTTGTCGCAAGAAGTTGGTAATCCTGTGAGGTCGAGCACCCACTCCTGAGATTTGATAGTGTCTCACAAAAGGTGCTTGCTTCTCTATCCTCTCCAGCTTGTCTCATTACTTGTGACAGTTCAATACTTTCCCCTATACTGTGATAAATCTCGAGTCCCTTATTCTGTAGGAGAGATGATTGAGAGTTACCCTCCCACCAAATGGTGACAAAGAGGGGGGTGTCACCGACCGGTGGCAGTTGTCCGAAGTCCCCAAATAAAAGAACGGAAAGTCCACCAAAAGGAAGTTGGGAGGATGCTGGGAAGATGTGACCAAGTTGAGTGTGTATTCTTCCCAGGCTCTTCCTTCCAATCATACTTTTCTCATCAATGATCAAATATCTGATATTCCGCCATTCCTCTTGCAAGTTTGCAAGCCGGGTGGGTGAAAGTGTTGTAGGGCGTGACTTGTCATCTGCTGAGAGACCGAGAGCTGAGTGGTATGTTTGTCCACCAATGTTGAATGTAGCGACCCCAGTTGGAGCTAGCTTCATGACTACTCTATCCGAGTACAGTTCATACAGAGACTGAGAGATCGCATCGATCAAGAACGACTTTCCGGTACCTGCGGTGCCGTCAATATTGAGTCGGAAAGGGGAGGAATTTTGACCATCAAGATGACACCCAGCATGATTGAGAACTTTGGTGAGAACCAGTTGTTGGCAATCGTTCAACAATGAGATATCAACATTGGCACGGGACGGATAGATATCTGTCTGTCTTGTCAGCACACTGTTGGGGCCAACGTGTCACTCACTGTCTTCTTCCACTCTGCCAGTGCTTTTGTTCTTTCACTGGTTCCCTCTATGCCCCAGTCTTGGGCGGGTTGATGCCAAGACTCCTGCATGTCCATTTCGCGTAACCCCAAACGGCTTGCAGGATCTGATCCTGCATTTGCCCGTCCCCCATCCTGACACATCACCTGCCAATCCTGTAGCACATAGTCCTCTTCCTCCTCCTCATCTGAGGAGAACTCCGTGTCTGAGCTGTTGGTACCCTGACCTCGTCTTGGCTTTTTTGGCAAGGTATCTTCATGACCATCAGGATGTAGCTCCTGACATCTTTTGTAGGCTTGGGACCATGACTCTTCTTCATCCACCAGATCACTCTTTTGTTGATGGGGATGATGCAAGGTAAGGCGAGCCCTGCACCAGTTTTTGTAATCTTCCACATCATCCCCAGATGGATGATAAGGTGGCCACAATCTGATCACACGGTCATTCTTCTGTCGATAAATAATTTTACCCTGTCTACGTTCATAATGCTTGTACCAGACATACAAGCTGACATCCACATACTCCTCATCCCGCTCTAGGTAGCTGTCATACCAATCCATATCCTCCAATTCATTGTCTGCATTTGACTTCTGAAGCCTCCTGCTTCGTTGAGGTAGGAGACAGAGATTGCAAAAGTCACGAGAACAAGACATCATGTGGCAATCAAGAAGACTGTGACACACCTCCTGAGCACTATAATCTCTCTCCGTAATAACCTTGCTGAGCATCTTCTGGAAGACAATCCTACTTGGTGTCTCCTCATTTAAGTATCCACATATCCCTTGCATTATGTCAGGGAACGCCAGGCTTGGTTTTTCGGCTTTGGAAGCATATTTTGCCACATATGTTGCCACAGCATGTGGATCAGACATGGGGATATATCCACATTAGCTTGCCATCCAAGGGTGAACACCGGGTTGTAAACATTGAGAAGAGGATCATTACGCTCCAACAGCAGCTGAATACTACCCTTCTCGTCGGTTGTAACAGAAGGTTGGGTGCACAGCTCCCTTGGAAATCGAAACCGGCAGACTGCCTCCGCTCGAGGACCACTTCCTTTTGGCCGTTTGAGGCAGTAGTTTGAGCATCTTGTGTGCCGCTGAATACGGTTGAGATGCTGGGCAAGTGAAAGATTATCAAAGGTCATTTGAGAGTGTGGTTGTGCTGAAGGGTGTATGACAGATGGAGGCAGGGCCGGACTTGGGTTGATTGCCCAAGCCTTTGACTTCCAAAACATGATGAATTCTTCCTCCACATTATTTCCCCCAGCCTTTAGTTCCTCGGGTGAAGGTGCACCTTCAAGCCATAGAAGACCATGGACATGGCCTGACCCCCGGCTCTGCCACTCATATCTAATCCAAAAATCTGTCACTCCTAACAATGGGGCCACCACATGACAAATAAAAAGCTGCGCTCTTTGCTGAATACACCAGGCAACATGGGCAGGATGTTCATTCACATGTGTGGTGTTGATCCTCTGTCGAAGTCGCTCATCAGCATTGGCTGGAGCGAGATTTGGAAGGTCACGATGAAGATCTGGCCATTGTATGTCCGCGGCAGAGAAAGTAACAAAAGTGTGTGGGGTGCCGAGCTGACGGATCATGGTACTGAGCTCTTGACTTCTTGCACCCCAGTATGGGGGTGTTCCTCGTAGAGTAGTTGCAGCCCGGCGCACCCGTTTGGCTAGCTCTCTAGATGTCACAATCGTCGTTTATTCTTCTCTACTGACCGACGGTCGACAAACCTCGGCTAACTACGTCGTAGTGGGGCGTTGATGTCTCACTAGGACAGGGTACTCGTCGGAGAACTACAGCTAACTTCGCCGTAGTAATGCGTCGAGTGGTGAAAGGATAAGATGATCGTCGATGAACTGCGGCTAACTTCGCCGTGGTGCGTCGAACTGCTCGGTGGTAGCTCTCCCTAACTCGATGGTTGTAGCTACTGAATATATCTCTCGCTACTGACAACAATCAAGGATCGCTGAAGAAGTTCAGCGATCTGTAAACTATCTATACTGCTCCTCTCTTCTCATAGAACGTCCCTCAACTCTCGCACTGCCTCACGCTCAGTCCTCTTCGTTCAACTTCGCCGTACCTCGCCATATCCCCGATGTCCTACTCCGCTCACCTCGCCTGACTTCGCCTGTTCTGCTCTCCCTCGGTCCCCTTCTCCTAACTTCGCCGTAGTTCTCCACTAGGCGGGGTTATCGTGACAAATACCCTCTTGGTTCTCATAACTTCGCCGTAGTCGGTCTCAGTGATTCGGGTGGTAGTTGGTGATGGTGAAAGGAGGGTCGGTGATGGTGGTTGTCAGGGATGTTACGATGTGGTTCGTGACACTAGAGTCGGAATCAAGCAGATCCTGGATGTCTCCTGCAATTAAAGCTTGTTCGTCCGGGTTACGGCTGACATAGAAGGCAGCGAGTGTGCGAGCTTGCCAACGCAAAAGTGCATTGAAAGCATAATATCTGAATTTCAGTAGAAGAAGAATTGCTAGTCTGGGACACACCTAAACTGAGGATGAGCAGCAAATCTACCATCATCATATTTCATGAGATGTTTGAAGTATTGGGATGGTGTGACCGGATGCTCTCTTGGTGCATGAAGGTCTGCAGTTCCTTGAGGGAATAGGAAGGGGAACGCTTCAACCAGATATTGGCTCGATTCATCGTGTTCGTACAGAGGTGTAGCCCTGAGAGGAGGAGCAGTGAGGGTTACTGGGTGGTCAACTCCCACCAGCTCTTCCATCCTGGACCGTGTTGCTTCAATCTCTCTCCTTCCGTCCCCAACATTAGGAACAACAGATTCCACCACAATATCCTCCTGCTCACCTTCCTGATCTGTTGGTCCTTCGGAAACATCTGCTCCAGCATCTTCAATTGTTGTTGACCGTAGTTGATTGAAAACTGAACCATGCTCTGGAAGTTGTGCTAGTGCCTCATGATTGATCTCTACATTTTGATAGGAAGGGTGAAAGTGTTGGAGTGCTTGAAGGTTTGCCAGAAGGCGAGTTCGGTTGACCTGAAATTTAGGACGGGCAGCAAATCTATCCATTGAGTGAGGGGAGTCTTTCTTCTTGATAATAAGGACATCCAACTCTGAGGGAAGTAGAGGAACACGAGTAACAAGTGAAACAGTATCGCGTGAAAAGAGGCATGTGTGACCTGCATATTTTGTCTGTCCATGACCCGCAACTTGCCAGATCTGGAGCTGGACATGCACCTTTGAGAGGAGCATCTCTTCAATCTGTGTTGGGGGAGCCGGAGGTTCGATATTGTGGTTCAAACACAACTGGGTCAGGGAAGGACCTGAGATTAGTACACACGACTATTTAAGGACAACAAGCCTTACCAGGATCCATGTTATTCTCTGATGCCATTTGTAACCTCTTTCCTCGCCTACACAGGGCACACACTCCATTCCGCACATGCAGCTCATACCACCTCTCCTTACATCTCTCACAGTACTCCTTCTCAAGACGCTCAACCTGTTGGTGGAAATTGTTGATGAGCGAAATTGATTCATTGGGAATACAGGGATCATGGAGCTTAGCTGGATCACAAGAAATTAGTGGATTAAGTGTTGTTGGTGAAACACTTTGTGAGTGTTGTCCAATCTCAGCTGATGATTCACAATCATTTGGGTTAACTCGCTCTTGATACCTCTGTTGCTGGAGTTCTCGGTAGTTAGAACATGAAAGGTACGGGACTGGGTGATTGGGATGGTGGAAATTGATGTCTGCAGACCATTTTCGGCAGGTGTTACAGCGCTTTTCACCTACATGTCGCAAGGGTCGAGGTGGTGGTTGGGGGGGCGCGGGTCTTCCCAGAAGTGGAGGAGTAGCATCAGGGGGGCGAGGAGCACGTCGGTTTTGACGTGCAGGGCGTGTGTTGCCAAACATGAGTGGTTGAGGTCGAGCAGGAGATGGTGAGGGGGCTCACGAGGTGTCAAGACGGCGGCAGGGTTGAGCTCTCTGGGACCCGGGGGTCAGAGGAGAGTGCACATGGGAATGAGATGGAGCAGGAGGGTTTTCTGGAAGTATTTCATCCTCTTCACGACATGCTTGACAAGAAAGAACACGTCTTCCACGATTACCTCGAAAATGGGGAGAAGGGAGGATGACTTGACAGCGAGAGCAGCGGACTGACTGGTGCTGTGATGAAGGTGTGGCAAGGGGTATGGGTGGTTTGCCGCGGCAGAAAGAGCAAGTCTTCCAGTACTCATCACTCTTCTTCCCCCTGGCACCGTTCCGAAAGTGAGTTGAATCAAGTGTGACGTCTGAGGGAGCTTGACATCTTAAGTTTGCTTTGCTGCATTGCAAGCTGGAGGACATTTTGGCTTGGAGTGGAATGCGGAGTGGAATATGAAGATATGGTGAAGAGGTTGAATAGCACCATACACGTAAATTTCTCAGTCTTACGTAAAGTCCCCGTTTCTGCCAGGCACTTACGTAGAATTTGACCCCTATACTTTGCGAGCTGACGCTCGCAATCAACCAAGTGTCACATGCAAACGAGTGACCTGTGTGGACGAGTTGTGAACGACCGTGGGAAGATTTGTTCTGGAACCTCTGTGCTGATTTCATTTGAGCGCTTCTCATCCCCAACATCATCTTTCTTCATGTCAAAGGATAACAGCGATCAACACGACGGGCCAGGCCTGACTGACGCTGACAAGGTCAGTCATGTCATTTACCCCGCGGACTTCAGAGTGCTGACTGTGCAGATCCGGCTCAAACGCCTGGCCAGATTACAAGGCCCTGACCGAATACCTCCTTCCTCGTCTTCTCCTTCCCTTACCCCCTCAACCCAAAGCACTTCCGCGGTCGTCGTCCCGAGAAGTGAACCTGCAGCTCAAGACTCGATTAGTCTCTCGGTCCGTGCCGAGCAGCAAAGTCTCGATGATCCGGGAATCGTTCGGGCGAGCACTCCTTCGAAAGCAATGTCCTCGGTTTACGCCGTCCACCCACCTATCCGAGAAGACGGTCCACGAGCCAAGATGCGGAGCACTTCGACTATCCCACCTTCATATGAGCCCTGGGAGAACTCTCAAATAGCCATCATTTTCCAAGTCACACTAGAGGTACGTTTATTGACTCTTGACGTCGCTGACGGCAGAGTACGATTGCTCAGCAGAGTGATTGGCGCTTGTGCTGGCTCAAGGACCTCGCAGACGAGCTGCGGGAAGAAGGCGCTCCTGTGCTCACAAGTACTGGAATTCTTGACCGCCTGCTGATCTCTCGCCTCTCTCTCGATCCCAAAATCATGGCCAGATCGTGGGTTCCCAGTGCTTGTTGTATGGCATGGCGAATTGCTTATTTTAGTGACGACCCTGACATCATCAATGTTCTCGCGGGGATGGTACAGGATGAGACCGTCTTCGAATATCTCACTGGTTGCTGGAAGCGACTGCATGCGGCAAATAGGGAAGTCTCTCGACTGGTGAGTCAAGGTTCTCAGTTCGATACTGAACGTAGAATTTCACCTCGAGTGAGAAGGAACGGTGGAGAATCACTTCCGACAAGACTCGTAACCTGCTACTGTCATACTGTGGTATGACTCTAGAGGATCCTTCTATGTTTCCACAACCTGACACGTGAGTTCTGTTTGAGAAAAGGGATGCGGCCCCTAACGGCAGCAAACCCACTGGACCCGCTGAATTCCTGCCCATTCTCCTGGCGCTTACCCCCTCGGGACCGGGTACCACGCCGAGCGACCACTCATCAGCCCACATTTCTCACAATGCCTTAGGACCGTCCGATCTTTTACCGTTCCTCAATGATATGGCTCTTGTCGCTGAGCAAGCAATATCCGAGATCATCACACCAACTCTAAGTTTATTCTTCCAAGAGTGGTTCAAATTACCCCGGCCAGACATTTTAGGAGATGAATGGAGGCGCTATCTTGGGGCAGTTGTTACTCTCGTCCTTGTCAAACCTATCGCCGCCTGTCTCCCATTTCTGAGTATTTGGATGGCCTCTGGCGTCACGCCGGAGAAGGTCGAATGGCAGTCTTTACTTGGACCACTGACCCGCCTCAGTGTGTATCCACGGGAATTTCCCCAGATTTGGAAGCTGAATTTTTCGAATCCGACCAATCGCAAAAGAGCCGACATCGACGCTAACAAGAGCAATTTACGGCACACTCTAAATTCGTTGCAAAACTCATTGTTTACCATTTACAACAGTATCATTCGAGCCTCACCTGCCGCTCGCGAAGAAGTTCTTCACTTTTTTGGACTCGTGGCTCGACTGAATCAGAAGCGTGCGGGGATGCAAGTTGACTACCGAAACGTATCATCGGACGGCTTTATGACGAATCTGCATTACGTCCTATTGAAGCTCTTTGAGCCTGCTATGGACGTGCGATATTCGAAAATCGACAAGGTTGATCCGGAATACCTCCGTTCCTCAAAGCTGGTGGACATTGGCGACGAGACGAAGATCCGCGCCTCGAAAGAAGAAGCCGACGAATATTACTCTATTTCAGTCGAAAAGTCATCCAATTTCATCACCGAAGTGTTCTACCTGTGCAATGTGTTTCAGCATCTCGGTATCGTGAAGACCATAGCTCAGCGTGGCAAAGCTGAGCGGAATATGATCGATATCGAGAAGCAGCTCAAACAGTCAGAAGCTTCACGTGCAGAATGGACGGGCAACCCGGCCCTCGAAGCACAAGGAGAGGCTGCCATCGCCAAGCTCAAGGCCGATCTGGCCATCCTTCACGCCTCGCTACATGCGTACGATACTCAACTTTTGGATCCCGTCTTTTATCGGCTAAACCTGACCTTCCTCGGCTTCATGATGACCTGGCTCGTCCGGCTCGTCGATCCGCATCGCCATCACCCATCACCGACTATCACTTTGCCTTTATCCTCTGAGGCCCCTCAACAGTTCCGTATGCTTCCTGAATACTTTTTTGACAACGTTGTCGAATATTGTGACTTCCTATCACGTTACGATCCTAACGCTTTCGACTCCTCCGATAAAGACACCTTTATCACGTTCGCAATCACTTTCTTGTCCCCCGGCTACGTCAATAATCCCTTTCTCAAAGCCAAACTGGTATCAGTGCTAGCGCATGGACTGTATCCCGTGGGGTATTGGAGAAAAGGCCCAATGTTCGACCGCCTCAGTTATCATCCTCTTTCAACACAGTACCTCATGCCCACGCTGATTCGCTTCTTCATCGATGTAGAGATGACGGGTGGACACACCCAGTTTTGGGATAAGTTCAATTTCCGCCGCGACATCAGTCGCATAGTCAAATCCATGTGGGAGAATCCTTTGCATCGCGAGGCGTTTGTACAATCTCGAAAGGACGACTTTGACCAATTCATCAAGTTCATCAACATGCTGATGAGCGATACCACTTTTCATCTCGAAGAGTCTTTAACAAACCTTGCTAAAATCAATCATATTGAGAGTTTGAAAGCCAATGCTGCCGAGTGGGACGACCGCCCTGAGACGGAGCGTAGCGATCTTGCTCAACAACTGCGCCAAGCGGAATCCAGCGCCCCTTTCCACACTCAAATGGGGCTTGACCATGTCAAGCTCATACGCGACTTCACCGCCACGACCAAGGAACCTTTTGTCACAGCAGAAATCGTCGACCGGTTAGCCGCCACTTTAGACGAGAATGTTGTCATGCTTGTGGGTCCTAAAATGCAAGATCTTCGAGTGGCAGATCCCGATCGTTTCTCATTCAAGCCCAAAGAGCTCCTGGCCGCCATCGCTCAGATCTATCTCAACTTAGCTGGGGAGGCAGACTTCATCAGAGCTGTTGCCAACGACGGACGAAGCTACTCGAAAGAGTTGTTTGAGAGATTCGCTCGGATCCTCAAGAATCGGGCCATCATGACTGACGCAGAAGTGGCAGAGGTAATCTCTTTTACCCAGAAAGTGGAGGATATGAGAGCGACTGTTATGATGGAGGACGAGAGGGACATTCCAGATGAATTTTTAGGTGGGTCTCTGCCCCGTCTGCGAGACCGAGCTGATGAGACCAGACCCTCTTTTATCGACTCGCATGTCTCCTTGTATCCGGACTCATGGACGAAAGCTGATCGGCAGTCATGAAAGATCCTGTCATCCTCCCAGTCTCTCGCGTGGTCATCGATCGAAGTACGATTCGTACCGTCCTCTTGTCCAAGGAGTTGGATCCTTTCAACAACATGCCGTGAGCGTCCGGACTTGTCCCAGTGGCAGTGCTGATGAAACCCAGTCTCAAATTGGAAGATTGCATTCCCGATACCGAACTGAAAGCCAAGATTGATGCCTGGTCAGCTGACACTGCTGTCAAACGCTCTGATGTAATGGAAGTTGACGACTTGTAAATGTAGATGCATGTGAACACTCAAGGATCTACCGCGGAGAGAAGTTGCACCAATTGCATCTCCCCCTTGCGACTGTCTGGCTTGTCGTCCTCTAGGTCCACAGCTGGAAGTACGAGACGAGCTTTGGCGCCCGTCCGTATACTTGCACCCAGCACGTCGACAATGGCCAAGCTGGAGTTGAGTCCGTGAACCATGGTGGCGGCGTAGAAGAAATTGGCATTGCCCGTCCCTCGCACCAGCCATAGGGAGTGCAGGAGCGGCAATAATATGAATGTGTAGGCATAGACGGTCAGACTGAAGAGTGGATGTTTAAGCTCTTGAAATCAGCAAACTTGGCACGCCTACTAGAGTATGAACGTACCCGTCAGAACTTCGGGGAAGCAGGCCAGTAAGCCAGCGGGAACATTCATATCTCCAAGCGTAGGATAGCTCTTCCAAGTTGCAAAGATCGACAGAAGGATGGCCATCGCCAAAAGTGGGTCATGGCGAAGCCGAATGCAGACGGGAATGACGTATATGACGCAGTGAAACTGCCATCAGCGTCAAATTGTAAGCAACGATCAGATGAACTGACTTGGAATACACCGAGAAAGAAGTGTCGAAAGTGATCGAACATTTCGGTGAAGAAGTACCACCACATGCCAACGTTCGGGGTGAGAAAAGGAAGACCGACGCTGGAGTCAGCGTCTCTGAAAGCTTTGACTGCTCCGTATGACTCACATGGACTTCCAGTAGCATAACATTCCTGACTGGCTCAGAGATGTAGACGATAGAAATGACCCGCCGCATGCAACGAGCAGGATTGCGGCCGAACGGCCAACGGACGCGCCCTTGCACGATGGGGTAACTAGCATTGCGAGTGCTGGCAGGAGACATATAGGATAGGCAGCGGTACGGGAAGACAGAGCGAAGAGAAGGGAAGCTGGGATCGCACGTTCTGACGGTGTGAGCTTGGCAGAGGACGTTGAAGACGTACTCACTTTGAGCCGCCAGGGCGATGGTCAGGAGTAAAAGCGAGTTGTCGACCGAGGTGGTTGTTAGAGCGACGCAAGTCGCAATGGTATACGGATTAAAGAGATATCTTGAGCTCTTCAGCGAGAGGAAAGACAAAAAGGGTACAAGCTGTCGATGATGGTTCACTCACAAGGCGGCCACAAGGCTCTCCCTGCCTTTCGACAACGAGTGATGACCTAACCTCGTTGTCCATATCTCTACGAGAGCAAGGGCACCAACTATATCCAGTAGGATCCATACATATGGGGCGATTACCGGTAGATGGCGGCCGAAGAGGGAGAAGAAACCCAGGTAGTCCGGAGGCTGAATGTCAGCTGATCCTCACATCGTCGGCTACGTACATGTACGAATGTGCCTCCATCATAGGGATCATAACCCAACCGCCGAAGGTATACACCTTCGAGCACTGTCAACATCAGTACGAGGCAATGGTCAGTCAACTTGCCGAGTCATCACTCACAACTACGGAACGACGTCTGCGGCGAGACAAGTTCTGGACGGTGTTGTAGAGCCGAGGAGATGAGTGTAGATTGGAAGAGAGCCAATCGTATGACGACGGCGGTGATGAAAACGGGAAGTCTGGCAGGTTCCGTCTTGGCAGTTTTAGAGTACATGTCTATCAAGACCTACCTGCTCTCTAAGCCATGACAAAGTGGATCATGTCATGCCTCGAGCGTTGCGAAGGGAACTCGATGGACAATGATGCGGTATTAAAGTGAAAGGGAATCACGGGTAACTTAAGCTTAATTGGAATTGAACTCGGTCTTTGTCCCGGTGTTGGCACGAGGCAGCTGTGATACATATATACTTGGGTCAAGGTAAGATAATCAATTGGTTCACGACGGAATGCATGGATCCTCATCTAGCTCTCCATGGTCCGGATTCATCTCCGTGCAGAGCGCCGTTTCCACTGGTGTGGCTGCTACTCCTAGAGAGCAGTCGCCCACCACTGCCAGTACGACCGGTCAGCAGAGGGCTGGGACCTTCCCTGCCGACCACGGATGCCGGTTGAGTGTAAGCTGATGGCATGAGCGGCTTCTCTCGACTGGCAACTTTGGTAAATTGCTTCTCCGCTCTGTTCAAGACACGCAGAGCATATGAGGCCACTGTCCAGACGCCACCTACTTGTCAGTCAAGAGAGAAGCGGATGCACTCACCAATAACCCCAATCAGTCTGATCACAAAGTGGTACAGCGATGTTGTCCGTTCCCGGACTGTCACCGCCATGGCCTCAAGATCGTACTTGAAGAATATACCAGGGACACCTTGGCCGTGTTGAAAAGATCGAAGATAATCCGTGACAGCATACTAGGCCAAGGTAAGCTGAGTACCGGGGCAGAAAATCACCACACTAACCTGGGATGTTACGAGTTTACGTCCGTTGGCATCGATATACGTCGTGGGCACGACACGGAGAAAATATTGAATTGCGGTGAAAGCTGACGAATGAGTTGTGTGTTACAAGACTGTTTGTAATCAGGACTTCTGCAGTACTCACGATTGTCACTGACCTGCATGGTCATATCGAGCGGTTGAGCGATTGCAGGGAAGAAAGGTCCAAAAGAGAACTCATGCACCACATGACTCAAGTTCATCACTAACGCCGTTCAGCGGTCACTCGTCGCGCAATTATTCTCCACTTACGAGCATGGTCGGTGTGTTCAAAGCTCATGTAGCCATGTCCCAGGGTAGTGATATGAAGGTTTGCAGTCACTTTTTTGACCTCGACGCTGCCATATATACGGCACGCAGGTCCGTTGTCGGCTTTGTTTGGGGTCGGACGAAACATGGCATGTTTCCGAGTGCGTCGCTTTGGTCGGGAGGATAATAATCGACGGATACCAGAGAACGATCTTTGCTGAGTGGGTGTCCTTCGCCGAGAGGATGAGATCACTTGAGATGCTGAGATGGGCGTAGGATGGGTCCTGGCCGTCAGCTTTCATGTACGGTGTCGAGGAACCGTGACGCTCTTGGATGTGACAGCCTTTCCTACTGCAAAAGTCGTCTTTTGATTAGCAGCAGCCCAGACAAGAGGATGCCGAATAATCTCACGCCTTCCTTTGTGAAACCATCGCTGAGGTGGAGACGATCTCCGACGGCATCTCGCAGGTCGATACTCAGGACTGTCTGACATCAGCAGGATGCCTCTGATCAAACGAGTGACTGGGGAAGACTGACAGTGACAAGGCATGGCAACAGTCAGGTCTACATTAAGCTGCAGATCTTTCTGCAGTTGCTGGTCCACGTCAAAGGTGTAGTCAGGTGCGCCGTAGAGGTATTCGCCCAAGTCGTTCTGTCAATGAGCTTGACATCATCGAGCAGGGTACACTCACCAAGACGAGGAGGAAGATGATGAACCCTACGAGGGCTGTTAAGACAGCTCCTCGACGCGATTGGGAAGTATATGTGGACTGCACCTGAGGATCAGCTCTGCTCAGAACCAGGGGGCGAGTCGACCTGAAGGGACCGACTGACCTTTGGGAAAGCGTCAAAGCTCTTTATGGGAGCGATCCTGTCGAGTTCGTCGAGCAACGAGACGCCTTGACCGTCTGAATGAGCAATGTCATTGTCATGACCGATCAGATGGGGCTCGTACATGGTGACGAAGGTGACTTGGGAGTAAGACAAAGGTGAGTTGGGGGAAGTAAGTTACCACCTGCGTCCATACTAGTACTACTACTTACCTGCGACAGTCCCACATCACGGTCTTGGCCGCTTTTACCTCACATCTTTCCTACCAAGAATAGTCGCATGTAGCATGTGCTTTGATTTATGTGATGGTCGACTGACCATGCATAAGGCATAAGGGTTCCACATTACTACTTAGTTCAACATCATGGTCACAGACGTCGTGTCGCCTTTCCCTTCGTCGTCCAAAGACACAGTTCTCTCCATACAATCCCACGTCGTCTCTGGATATGTCGGTCAGTTCGATCGTTGTTCCACCACCACTACTAATCAATCATTCTTGTCCGGATTCCGGCTCATGGTCAGGTAATCGAGCGGCAACCTTCCCTCTGCAACTTTTAGGTTATGAAGTAGACGTCGTCAACACTGTTCATTTCTCAAACCATACAGGTCAGTCAGTGTGCAGTGTATTGTCAGGCGCAGAGGTCTGTCTGTACCTACTTATAGCAACGCTCATCGCCCAGGTTATGGGCGCTTCAAAGGTCACAAGACCACTCCTGATGAGCTTCAAGACATCTTTGACGGTTTACGTGTCAATGGCCTCTTGACGCACTCAAGAGTTCTCACAGGCTATATTCCTGGCGCCGAAGCCCTACAAGTCATCGCTCAAGAGATCAAGAGCATGCGACATGTCAATCCCGACCTCTGCTATCTTCTCGACCGTGAGTTGTCTGCACGATGATCATGACTGGAAGCTCAATCTCCTTCAGCTGTCATGGGAGACGTTGACAGGGGGCTCTACGTCTCACCGAGCGTTGTCCCTGTATACAAGCAGATGCTCTCACTGGCTACCATCATAACCCCTAATCAATTCGAAATAGAGTAAGTCGTCTGATGAACGACATGACTTCCACTGCTGATGGGCCAAGGACGCTGACATCCGTCCCAATCGATTCACTGCCGGCTCTGCACCAAGCCTTGCGTCTCCTGCACACCGAATACCACATTCCACATGTCGTGTGTTCGTCAATACCCCTCAAGGCTAACAGTCTGGCCGGTCTTGCCCTACCTTCCCCTCCGCCATCATATACCCAATTCGTCCCGAGCCCAACTCCACCATGGTACGACGCCCTAGGATCCGATAAGGCCACTGATGAGGTACTCGTCTGCTTCGCAAGCTCATGGAACGGAGGAAAGATGCGAACGTGGGCGTACCCATTGCCGACTATCCGTGCCGCCTTCACCGGCACGGGCGATATCCTTTCCGCCATGATCCTAGGACATTATTCACCGAACGTGTCTTGTCCCCTTCCTCACGCCGTCTCCAAAGCTCTCTCGGTCGTCCAGCAGGTGCTGTTGAGGACTCATCTTCACTCGCTCTCTCAAACCACCCAGTCTCAAGAAACCACTCACCCCTTGAGCAGCCCTTTGCGACGGTCCCAAGAAGCGCGTAAAAGAGAATTGCGCCTTGTCCAGGAGCAAGCTCTCATCTCCAACTCGTCAGAGCATTGGCCTGGTTGTGAAGTGCCATGGGACGCTATACATCTGCGATCGTGATTGTGAATGCATAGATGACATATACCCACACTGTTCTCTCTTGTGACCATCGCTTCCTCCATCAATCCTCATCGCCGTTGTTCAGTCTTCCCGCCGCATCTTCGATCAGGAAGGTCTTATGAATGATTCGTAAGCATCGCTGCTGTAGGGCGCGCAGAAGCTCGGCCAGATCTGAATCGTTGAGTCGGGAAACGGCGACGATCTGCGTCAAATGTCCTCTCAGCTGGATTGTCAGCAGCGGCAGGGCTATATGAGTCGTCAACCCAGACTCACGTCAAGCATAGTCTTGCGTCGGCGAGCAACGGCGTTGGTTGCACTCTTTTCTCTAGCTACTCTCCTCAGCAAGTCGACCCTCTCACGCATCAAGACGTACAGTTTGACTCCAGTTGCGCCAATTTCTCCGCCATTTCTTGCGCGTACACCATCACCGACTCGGGGAGGCATGTCGCTTTTGCCAGCTCCAACCCTAGCAATAAGCTGAATGCTTGACTTGAACTCACCATAATGTTGCCATTGCCCGGGACCTTCGATAATCTTGTATGTATGCAGTGCGGCCGGAGAAGAAACCGTTGTGCCGCCAACTCTTGTAGCCTGTGTGGTGTCAATAAAGGTTCAGTCGGAAGTCTAAAAAGGCGACCTGGCTGTTGAGATGAAGGCTGAACGTCAGCAGGTAGTCAAGGGTAAAGAGATGTCAACACACTTGATGACCCCAGGGTGGAACGACAAGGTTTTGGTCAGTTCGTGGAAATGTGTCGCGAAGAAGGTGAGCGCCTGATGAGAATATCAGTCTTAGTCCGGGAATTTTTAAAATGCTCTCGCCCGTCTTTCGATCAAAACTTCCGCTATGGCATGAGAAAGACCTATGCCTTCCCGGGGAGCAGTGCCCCTCCCGAGCTGCTACATGAGCCGACAGGCAAGCTACATGGACCGGGTGATACTTACTTCATCGATGAGCACAAGTGAGGTAGATGTTGCAGTGCCTGAAATTTCAGCATTCCGAGTTTCAATATAGGGTTATCTTGCACCTAATATCATTGCCGATGTAGCCATTTCTGCCGCGAATGTAGAGAGCGACCGTTCGATTGAATCTGAAATGAGCTATGTTCTACACGGTGGTCCAGAACATTCTCACCATCGTTCGATAATCGCGATAGGAGGGCGTCGTGTACTTTGAACGATGCATACTCGGCTGGGACACTGAACTAGTCAGCGACGGACCAAAAGCACGAGCGTCATAGCACCCACAAGCACCCTATCATAGCTTGTACGACCAAAAGCCCGATCTGACGAAGGTATGTTGTCTTTCCCGACATGCTGACGAATCAATTGACGACACGAAGTCGCCAGAAAGACACCGACTTCGGACCTTGCACGAGACGAAAAGATGCGTTGTCGGAAGCGGCACTACTATTCAGCACGTCATAGGCTGACTAGATGCTCACATGTCATTTGGTACACATCGTGTGTCTCCCAACATTTTCTCGAGAACAGGATGCCTGCCATTTCTGATCTGAAAACATCAGCTGGACTTACCCAGATCGCAACAGACGTACTGCCAGATTTCCAGTAAACTCTGGACGGACTGCTCGTCAGATGGGCTTATCACGGCACTTACCGCAAGCTTGACCTGTAGATTGTTAGATAATGTCGCCTTAAGCGAAGTTGGGCAAAACCCACGAATGCTATAATTGGCGAATGCAAGGAGAACATCCATTTGGGCGATCTTTCCTCGTCAGCTGATGACCGCGGCTCACATGAATGTCCCCACAGTCTCAATGCAGGTGTATAAACCCTCTGCATGGTTTCAGTACACATCCACCAGGGAGCACCCACTCAGCTCACCAACCACTTCATTCACCTCACCCACCATCCTCGCAACGTATTGTTCGCTAAGCAGGAAAACCTCCTCGGCAGATTGCTTGAGACGATAATTTCGGCTTGTCTGGAGCGTCAGCACCTATCAGACTTCCTGGGAGCACTGACCAAGTCTGCGGTGGAAAAAAGGATCCTACATGTCAGCCTAATTGTCTCCTACGACAATCTAGCCATCACTTGGAATGAGAAGAGTGGATGTCAATCCATTCTTTGGGCGGCCGTCGATTCTTCAGTTGTTCAGTAGCGACGCTGTACAGATACCCGGCATCAGTCCAGTGTAGCCTGCAGGCGTAGTTGTAGGTACCTGCTTCATCAGAGCGAATGATGAGAATAAGAACGGATCACGATTCAAGTCCTCAAGGGCTGCACGACTCAGATGCGCGTCCGCGCATGAAGAACGACCACGTACCTCCCCAAATGTCGGCTTCATTCTCCTCATATGCATTGCGGGCGATGTCGAGCACCGCATTTTGTCCGCGCTTCACAGCGTAGAGTCTGGTCCGTTTTGTAAACTCGCCTTTCTTGGATTTATCATTCGTGCTCTCGTCAAAGGAAGCTTCAAAAGTGAGCATGACCTCGGGTGACCTGACAAACCTTCGATGGCCGTCACTAATGTGCCTATAACTGGGTTGTGAAGAGTCTTCAGATCAGCTTTCGGAAGCTCCGCGCGACATACCTGAGACGCAACCGACAGGAAAGGCGACATGCAGCCGTAGAGCGCCTGTGAAAGTCGTGGGATACCAGACAGGTATGATCGCAATTGGAGTAATTTGCCGATGCGCCTTTCGGTCACCTGAGGGTTGCCCCTGAGTCGCTCCTGGCTCGATAGCTATTAGTGTCATCGGTTGGAGTGAAAGGCCAGGAAAGAAATCACGTGTGCGATCAAGCTTTCGATGTCTAGCTAAAGATCGTAAGCTGTTATAGGCTTGCTTGGTTCAGACGCCGATTTACCTTGTTTGGCAAGCTTCCAAACGCCTCGATGAGTGCACTCGCCCGCTCCGCCGACTGCATGAGCTCTGGCGAAGTGAGACAACACTATTCCTTGTCGCGAGTGACTCACCCTGAACAACGTCAAGGCGATCTTCGACAACAGTCACATCTCCTGTGTGAGCAAGTCACGATGGGCTGCTGAACTCACTGCTGCTCGGCTGAAGGATCATCTTCCTCAAAAGACGGGACCCCATAGGAGTATGACAATGATTGAGGAGTCCTACGGAGTGTGAGACCGCACCCAACGACGATCGTAAAATTACCATAGAGGGTACCAGAGCTCTGGCCAGTGATGGCGTTGCTGACGAGCTCGAGGTTACGTACGGTTTCTGTATCAACGTAGATGGTACCTGAGCCGTAAGCGAGGGCATAAATGTTCGTACCTACCCTTGAGCGCCTTATAGCGGATTCGAAGGCTTGCTTTTGGAAAAGTGATATCGCGGTTTACGCTTATCCACTTGAACAGAGCAGACACAGCTGCCAAGACATGTCCTCTGCGCCAATGAGCGCTGCCTTGCTGAAGAACACGCCAAACCCACTTTTCGGCAGTCGACATGAGCACAGAAGCTCTGATTTCACCAGGAATACTCAGACTCTGAAGGAACACAAGCCCTGAAACCCCTATTAGCTCGACTTAAAATCTGAATGCTCACCAGCGTTGTCATTCCAATGTGACTTGTCTACCAGTTGGCACGGTATCCCAGTAGCTTCTTCTAAAATCCGGTAGAACCGTTGGAAGTCGACCGATTCTGAGGCTGGGGCTGAGGTGTTGAGCTCGGCGACGAGTAGTTGAGCGGGTGGGTAGATACTCAGATGATGAGTGGTACGGTCGAAGTCTAAACCGTCAATACCACGTCGATACAACATGAACTTGGCGCCACTCGCCAGTGCTATCTGCTACCTAATGAACTGATCAGTATTGACATCTTCGGCACACGCCACTGACTTGGGTAAGAATGACCTGAGGTATATATCAGTACACAAAAAGATCATCATACCGTCGAGTTGTCAGCTCGGCTTACCTCGTGGGTGTCGAGGTGAAGGCACGCTACCCCGATATCTGCATCACCTTTCAATTAAGAGATGAGCAGTTGAGTAGAAAAGATCCCTCGTACCCTTTCTCCGTTGTACGGCGACTATCCATTCTCCTCGAATGTGACCACGAGTTGAAGCTCTGGCAGAGGGAAGAGACACTCTATCTGTATCCATGTTGACGACGGAGTGGGTGACGAAGACGAGAGGAGGAGTGAGATGGGCGGAAGAGAGAGAGAGGAAGAGAGAGGGGGATGGGGGTGATCGGGTGGGGGTAACAAAGTGGGGGGCATCTTTAAAGTTGATACGGGGCACGTGACCCATTCTCTCCAGCGGCCAGTTCTTACATGACGATACCGTATGGTTGTACCTATGTTGCTACGGATATCACCATGTCTCAAGTGGTATCCTCGCTCGACGTACCTTCATCTTACAGAGATAATCGATCAGAGGTGAGTGTTTGAGCGATCAGTCTCGTGAGCACAGCTCATGACCAGCTGGACAGGGAGACAGAGCGGCGTCTCCTCGCCCGGTCAACTACACTCTATGTCGGTAATCTGAGCTTCTACACGACCGAGACTCAAATGTATGAGGGTGAGATCTCACCTCAGCCTTTCATGTCCACTACTGACATCCAGTGTTCTCCGCCTGCGCAAGGCCAGAAGAAGGTGGAGGGGTCAAACGGATCATCATGGGTTTGGATAGGCACCAAAAGTATGTCAACCGTCACCGCCGTCAGACGCTCCAGCTCATCTACTCAGGACCCCCTGCGGCTTTGCGTTTGTTGAGTACTACTTGCACAGTGAAGCTCTTGCCAGCCTGCGGTACATATCCGGAACCAAGGTCGACGAGCGCATCATCCGTTGTGATCTCGATCCCGGTTACAAGGAGGGAAGGCAATTCGGCCGAGGAAGATCTGGGGGTCAGGTTCGGGACGAGTTCAGACAAGAGTATGACAGCGGGCGAGGTGAGATTAGACCACGTAAAACGATCGCTTGGCTGACAGCCCGCAGGAGGTTGGGGACATCAACGAATGGAAGAAGAGAGACGAAGGCAGGAGCAGGAACGATTGAGAACCCAGATCCAGATGGACACATACGCCACCGGTGTGCCCGGTGAGATTCCAAGAGGGGAAGGCCCTGGCGCGGGCGGCCGGTCGAAGAGGGCGAGAAGCGATGATGATGAAGAAGATGACGAGGAATGGAAGCGACGGCGAGAAGGGGACGGCGAGTGAGGCGTGAGTCAAAGAAACGATCGACATAACATACCGAATGCAACTGATGATTACGATGCGCTGTGATTATGTGATATCACCGTGCGCAGCTTTACAGCTGCAAGCTACAGACAGCTGTGACTTGTTGATGCCCGATGTATGCCTACTGCAAAGGCTATACCCAATATGATCAGTAGTAGTGCATGTAGTAGTAGGTAGTGGTGTGCCCCTCTATATGATCCCCCCCGTTTGTAGTAAACCTTTATGAAATCTCCGCCTTTGTCCTTTTGCTTCCCCCATCTTTCCCTTTCCCTTCCCTCCTCCCTCTTCTCACTATCGAGGGACCCCTTACCCTCTCATTTGTTCTTGTCAAAGGGTAACCTACCCTCTCCACTCCATCGAAAAAACAACAAAAAAGAAGAAGAAAACTCGTCGTCTTGCTCATACCCCAGCGGTCGATCTTTTTTCCTTCGTTGGCCGCTCACTCGGCTGCAAGTTTCATCGACGATTCTAACGCCGCTCTCGTCATCTTTTCTTTTTCATCTCTTTTATCGTTTTTGACCGTGACCGATGAGTGCTGTCGAAAGTACTGCTCCCAATCACAACTCCTCAGCCTGGTTCAGAGGTACTCCTCCTCACGTGTCTCCCGACTCTGGCGGGCATGTCAACGGTCAAGTGACCGCGCCCATATCAATCGCTCGAAACGGAAGTTTGTTGGTTAGCGGAGGTGACTTGAATATGGGTGCGTCTCTCGTCATATGCTTCGGTCGGATACTCATGCTGCTAGAGACGCCGGGAGGCCTTGCCTTTGGTACCGTCAACTCCGAAACCCCAATGCTATCATCATCCCCGGCCGTCCCATCGATGACAGGTGCTCATCTCGATTCTGCCATTAATGTCTTCGGTTCTGTCCCTGTACAACCCGAAAATGGCGATAAGCTTCCTCCCAAACAAAACCTAGACGTCCATTCCCTCTTCATCTCACGTCCCAAAATTGCCAAGGAGCGTCGCGAGTCCGCCTCACAAGCCGTGATGCTGCCACCCCCAGGGCCATACATGTCTAACGGTCCCCGCCCTTCGCAGATACAACCACGATCCCCAGTTCCATCACCAATGTCGGCACCCTATCCTCGTCCCATGATGCAAGCGAGACCGGGGATGCCGATGCAAAGGCCTATGGAGTTGCCGTACGCTCAGGGCTATGCGATGGGCTTTCCCCAAGGCTTCTACGTGAGTGTTAAATTTAAGATCCAGCTGATGTCAGGGATATCAATACAACATGCCGTGGAACCCAATGGCTCAGCAGGCAGTCGCAAACCCCATTTCCCCCCGTGGCCCTCAACCTTCATTGCCTCAACCGACTCCAGATCCCAGTACTTTACCCAACAGTATCGGTACTAGTCCTCGTCCAACTCCTCCGAGTCGTACAGCTAGCATTCTGCCTACACCCCCTCACATTGCTTCCATGCGTCCACCAGCCTCTGCGGCGCACTCCTTTACCCCGTCCCCGCAAACACATTTGTCCGTCAACGCAACCGCTTTTACACCTCGCAAGCCAGCTGTCCCAGTGAAGTTTTCACGCCCAGACGGAACGACGCTCGACGTCAACGTCGTAGCTAAAGACGTGAAGGAGCCCAAAGAGAAAAAGGTGGAACAAGCCGGTGCCACCCCTAAGAGGCAATTGCCCTCGCTCCCTATCATAGTCAGACCGCCGGAATCGGAGGAGCAAAAGCGTCTCCGTCTGGACGAACTCGCTCAAGAGGCAAAAATTCGGAGTGAGGTAGAACGGGATGAACAGGAGCGCGAAGAACGACGCCAGCGAGCGGAAGCCAAGGCAAAAGAAGAGGTGAGTCTGCCATACTTTGCAACGCTGACGTTCAGGCGGCGCAGGCAGAAGCAAAGATCAAAGCCGAAGTCGCGGTCCAAGCTGAGAAGATGAAGGCCGAACAATCTATCAAAACAGCTGCATTGGCTGGACTAGAGGTTGAACGCAATGAAGCAGAGCTACGGAAGGAGACAGATGACAAGGAAGCTGAGCTCAAGACGGCTGAGCTCAAGACGGCTGAGCTCAAGACGGCCGAGCTCAAGGAGGAGATGGAAGGCGAAGATGAACCGCTGCATACCGCTCCCGAGGCGAACGCTTCTGCTTCGCAGCAGCGGGCGGCCGGTCGTGCCCCTGCACTCATCTCCCCAGTTCCAGGCGATGACAGTCAGACAATTCGCGAGGTCGCGGCCCAGCCTCTGTTACCCCCACCTGTCTCTGCGTCCCCCCTACCCTCTCCCAGACTTGGTTCTTCGACTTTGCCTCCCAAGCCCGTGTCAGCGCTGTCTAGATCCAGCCCATCGCAAGCGACATCGCCCACCTCATCCACAATTGTCACCGCGGCTCCTATTCTTAACCTCAGCGCCATCACGTATCCATCTCCCAATCACCCTCCCAACCCCGATCTCAATAAAGATGCTCAGCCAGGCAAATTCAGGTACGATCGCGACTTCTTACTTCAATTTATGAATATCTGCACGGAGAAACCTGCGAATCTTCCGAAATTGGGCGAGATCGGTCTTGAAGCCGACGCATCGAGCGGTTTCGGTCGCAAGCGCAGTACAGCTGGCTCGGCACGACCCGTGGGACTCGGTATGACGCGTCCGCTTCCCTCGCAGGGAATGGGAACTTTCAACATGGGCAATATGGGCAGTTTCGCATCCGGCCCGCTGCGTGCTGCCGACAGGAATCGTCCGAGTCGTGTACCTAGTCAAGGACCACTCACGCCTATGATATCTCGTGGTGTGGCTCGCGGCAGCCAGCGCGGCACGAGGAGACAGCCTCCACCACCTGCAGACGATGCGTCGCCCCTGGTCGTTTCAGCAAATTCGTGGTCAGCTCAGCGACCATCCAACGACGAGGGGTCGCCCGCTTACGTGGAGCGGAAGGTCAAAGCATTGCTGAACAAGTTGACCGCCGAGAAGTTCGACTCCATCGCACAGCAAATCTTGGAATGGGCAAACAAATCCGAGCACGAAACGGATGGCACGTCGCTCAAGCTGGTCATCAAGCTGGTGTTTGAAAAGGCTACAGACGAAGCTCACTGGTCGCAGATGTATGCTCGACTCTGCCGTCTCATCCTCGAGCGTCTCAACCCCAATGTCAGCGAAACAGTTGAGGATGGCAAAGTCATATCTGGAGGTGTTCTTTTCCGTCGGTATCTGATAGGTCGTTGTCAAGTGGATTTCGAGAATGGGTGGAAAGCGCGTGAGGACACTGCGACGGCTGCTGCGGCTCGGAGTGAAGAAGACAAGCAGCAGCTGGCCAACAGGGAAGGGGACGAGGCTCCGATGCTCAGCGACGAGTACTACGCCGCTCAAAAAGCCAAACGACGTGGTCTCGGTCTTGTTCAGCTCATCGGGGAGCTGTACAAGCTCGAGATGATCTCTCGAAACGTGATCAGGCAATGTCTGCGACGACTCCTCGGAAACCTTGACAGTCCCGATGAAGAGGACATTGAGTCCACTTGTAAACTTCTCACTACAATTGGAGGCCAGTACGATGAAGTGGAAAAAGACAATATGGACGTGATATTTGACCGACTCAGCGTCATCCTGAAAGGTGACAAGCTTCCTTCCAGAATACGTTTCATGATAATGGTTCGTACATTCAGTTTATTTTCATATCGGCAACTAATTCACAGGATGTCTTTGATCTGAGGCGAAGCGGGTGGCAGTCTCGGAAACCTCAATCTAGCGTCATGACGATTGCCGAAGTGCACGAGCAAGCGGCGCGAGAACAAGCGGAGAAGTCGGCTGCGTTAAGTCGAGATGCTATCTCAAGAGGTGGATCCCGAGCGGGAGGTCGAAGAGATGGGCCGCAAACGGGTGAATGGCAGAATGTCCCCACCGGCCGACCGCCGCAGCGGCCTACCGATTTTTCCAACCTAGGCAAGCTCAGTTCTCAGACCATGCCGAACGCTCCTTCTTTCACCGGACCTTCGGGGATCTTTGCACGCAAGGGAAAAACGTCGCTAGTCACGCCTCCCATGTCGAGACAAGCCTCCACCGCGGACCTCAGCAACAAGTTTAATGTACTCAGCGGAGAAGCAGCGGACAAAGCGGAGCCGAAGCAAGAAGAGCCTCAGCGAAAGAAGATAACCTTGAAGCCGCGAACAAAGCCTATGCCAAATGAGGAGGCGGAGGCTGGTGAAGTGAAAGACGAAGCGAAGGAAATGGAGACAACATCAGATGAGGAGAGCGGCATGAGTGAACAACAAGCTTTGGACAAGATAGAACTTGACATGAAGGAACTGTGGGGTGACAAGGGATTGATAGGAACTCGGAATCCCTCCGATATCGTGGAATATTTCCGTGCTCTACCGACACAACATCACTTGCTGTTAGCAACACGATTGCTAGACCACTTGTTCCGGACTCAAAAGACCAAAGACGGAGAGATTATAGCCTCAGGGTGGAAAAAGTCTATAGAGGAAAGAGTAATTTCGCCTGAGTTGTTACTAAAAAGGTGCGCCGTGCTGTCCGTTTCTCCATGTCAATTCAAGTGCTGACATGCAGTGTTGAAAGTAGAATAAGCACTCTCGATGACGATGCGGTCGACTTCCCAGCGGCCTACAAGGCTGTGGCGTTGCTAGTGCGGAGTATAGCTGCCTCCCCGGACGACCTCGAAAGACTCGTCTCGTTGATCATAGTGGAAGGCACACCTCGGCTGACACCACGGATGAAGTGGGAAAAAGCCCTGCGGGAGGTTGATGAAGCGTCGGCTTAGAAGTGAAAGTTTTCGATAGAGAGCAAGGCATTTGGTTACTAATGATTCGTAATTATTATTCGGGGCATCTTCGATCTCGCTACACGCTTTAGTCTCACATTTTCGTTTTCCCACATTACACCCCCTACCCCCTTACCCTCGGTCTTTCCTGCCGCCCCATTCTCCTTTAGAGGTACCGTCACAACGTCATGATCTAGCGCGCAAAGTTATCGTTATGCATTCTGTAATTGCTCTACACAACTGTATTTGTGACACAGGATTTCACACGATTCACAGCAACTCTAGCAACTGTTTGATACCGTCAATCGTCTTTCCTACAAAATCTTCCGCAGCTCCGCTCTCGTCATCTTCAATGATGCCAGTCGTGATGAGTGAGGCTTCTTTCATCAGCTTGCTGTGGAGTATGGATTGCAAGCCGTGGAGCTCTTCTAACGATCCGAAGACATCTTCAAGTTTCTCTCGGCAGCTGTCACCAGGGAGGAGTGAAAGCACAAGCTGCCGAAAGGACGACGTGGTGGTCAATAAGTTGGCGATGAGTAGAGCCGAGTAGCCCGATACGAGATGCAGATCGGACTGACTTTAGCGGTCGAGTACTGCAATACGATTCGTTGCTCACCTTTGTATCGGCAGACTTCATTGCCTTGTACAGATCCACCAGATGAGCAATCAGCGGTCGTCGACCAGAACAGAGACATTGCGTGAGACACCCTCCCATGCCCGTGCACGTGTCGCTGAGCTCTGAAACGTCAGCTCTCTCTCTCTCTCTTCAGGATCTGACAATGTCGGATGCGTACCGACGGTTGCCAATGGGGCGATGTGCGAGGTATTCACTCTCGCCAAATTGACGAGTAAGGCCAGGACGAGGCATACGAGTTCTTCTGATCGGTCCGCTTGCTGATTGGAAGCCAAGTCAGCCACCTCTGGGCATGTTTCCGGAACGAGAGCCAAGACGTCTCTTTGTAAGAGTGCTCGGAACAGGCCGTTGAGTGTGTTGGATCGACCAACTTGTTCGGCCCAGAGCGTGCTCGCGTTGGTCATGTTGGCTAAAATCTTGAGTGACTCGAGCACCACCAGGCCTGTCCTGCGTCAACCAGCACCCAACATGATATGTGTGATACGTACCACCGTCTGCCCTGTCCCCGTGTAACACCAAGACTGTCGAGATCACGATGGCGTTCAGCAGGGATGAGGCAAAGTCAAAGCAATGCTCGAGCTGCTGGCAGACTGCTTCAGATCGGCCCACGAGGAAAGACATGATGCCAAGGCATTGTCGCATATGTTGCAGATCCACATCTGCCGAGGAGAAGCCATCCTGTTCATGAGATGAGCAGCTTTGATGAGGGACTCACCGACTGGATACCATGAAGTATTGACGGCTTCCCTAATAGTCGCAACTCCGATTCAAGAGCTTTGCGGATTTTCTTTCCAAGAGTCGTTTCAGAAACATGATCGGTTATGAGAGGGAACACGTCTTCACAGCACAGAGATGCTAAGGCGTTCGAAGCCAGACTCCGTGAGGTAATCTACTGGTCAGCTGAGAGGACGACAATCCACTCACATGAGGTCGGGAAGTGAATTCAGCTACCAGAGCTCGCAGCTTGGAAGTTTGAGACTACTAATGAGCAACCCTCACGATATGCCTTCTGGGTCTACTAACTGAGACCTTTTGAACAAAGGTAACTTCCCCTAGGTGATCATTCCGCGCGTTCAACTGTTCAACCAGAAAAGACAGAGTGCGGCTGGGTGCGGCGAGGACCACGGGGACTATATCATTCTCGAGGACTAGCTTTGCTAAGTACAGGAGGCAGACGTTATCCAGAAGCTAAAGTTGGAGGTTTCAGCTTAGGACAAACAATCGACTTCAGGATCTCACCTCGTCACCGTCTCCCCGGGCCGACATGAGGGCTTCAAAGACTTGCTCAATTTTCCCACAGGATTTCATTTTTGTGTACCATCCTTCGTGGGCGAGATTGGACAGTAGATCCAGAGCACTGCAGTCAGAGCGGAACAACGAATGGCGAATAATCATTTACCTGCTTCGTTTAACACCTTGTCTGACCACAGGATCCGAAAGAGTGTCGATGAATAATGCGAGTTCATCTAGTAGTCGGCGATTCGCTCCTATCGCTCTCATGTCTGTGACAGGTACGGGTGCGCGAGCACTGAGCAACAACTGCAAATGAGCCCTTATCAAGCCTTTCGAGTTCGAGGACATACGGGAAGAAGGTTGACCGAACTGCTACCTTGATCCGTGTCCGTATTATCCACAGCAAACTTGTTCCGGAGTTTGTCATAGCTTGCTATGGGTCCCGGGCTCCGAGCTCCACCGTCTAACAAGGTTTCCTCCAAAATCGTCCTGAACCGACCATATGTCCGCTTGGCACGACCGCCAGAACCTGGGGCGTCCACGTTTGAGGTGTTTTCCAAAAGTGTGGCAGGATCGATCGGGGAGGGAGCTTCTGGAGCAATGCCTGACGAGCTTGGTAGCGATCGAGTTCTGGACATTGAGGGGGAAGGGGTCCCGGGTGGAACATGTCGTGAATTGACCCTGAAGGGACTGTTTAGGTCATCCATCGGCGTACCGTACCGCGGCGAGCTCTCTTGTCCCAAACTTTGCGTCTTGGTGAGCATTCGTCTCATCCCTATGCGAGTCAATCCACTCCTACCGCTTCCAGGGCTACCATGGTCCTTTCCTCGTCCGGCTGAAGAGCTCGCGGGAGCGACCGCGGCGAAGAGAGCTGACAAGTCCCGAGGGGAGGACTGTGGTGTGAGGGTAGGGTGGCCGGAGGACCTCTTTCTGGGAGGAGTCGATGGAGATATAGAAGGAGAACCACTAAGGGGTATATCCGACAAGGACTGGGGAATGGACAGATCCCTCCTCTGATCGTTTCCTCGAGCGCTGCTTTGGCCAAGCGAATCCTGATGTCGAGTAAAGTCGGAGGAATCTTCTGGCCGCTCCAGGTCTTTGTCATTGCCAGAGCTCCGTATACTGGCAGAGGATTCTGATAATGCGGAGTCGCTGATAGCTGTCCTCCTGGCTCGTTTACGTGAAGGGAATTCTGGGAAGTTATACGATCCACTCTTAGAATCAGACGGAGACGGTTCGAGGACGAGTGTACGGGAGTTTGTGGAGGCTCTCTTCGAGTAGGTATGTCTTGCCGGACCATGTCGTTTATAGCGTGGCAGAGAGATACTGTCGGGGGAGCTAGAGGGGCTAGTGACGACCATGATGAAGAGGGGCAAGTAAGTATGAGAGAATGTGCGTCGAGGATACGAACATGGAGACGGTTGGAGGGAGGTTGGGTGGCGGAGCCCCACATGGGCACCAGTAGTACTCTACTCGTACTCGTACTCTACTCGTACTCTACTCGTACTCCACTCGTGCTGCATGCTGCAACTAGTACGCATCTGTAAGCAGCTTGAGCGAGCATTGCACTTCGGATAGCATAGCATCACAATCATGGAGCCTATATGTACAGTCGTTAGATAGCCATGTCACACTCGGCTCGCAGCTGCATCTAATCGTCCTCGTCGTCAGACATCTCCACGTAGGCTGTCTTCTTCGTCGCCCCTCTGCCTGTCCTCGGTGCCGCCCTAGGTGCCGGTACAAAGTCATCCCTGTTCCGGTCAGCGGTTGACATGTGAGCAGAGGACATGACTCACGAGTCGTCCTCATCAAAGTCCGAGTCGGCCTTCTTACTTTTGGTCGTAGCTCTGGGAGCGGGCTTGCTTTTGACCGCCTTCGGAGGCGACATCACCTCAATGTCAGACTCATCCTCGTCGTCCAGGGGGATCTTTGCTTTCGAACTCGAGGCCTTGGGAGCAGGTATGTTATATACTGAATATGTAAACACTAAGATCCTGGACAGTTGATCATGTCACTCACTTTCATCATCAGAATCCTCGTCGTGGATGATCTTAGGCTTGGGCTTGGTTTTGACCGCTGGCTTTGAGGAAGGGGCCTTCTTGGCAGGCGGTTCATCACCAGCAGATAAGTGTGCACTGAAGTCAGTTATGGCAGGACAATACATGATCTGATTCAGACTGACCTCTCTCTCTTCAAAGGCGAGACCTTGACTGGCGAGGCTTTCGCTTTTGGCTTTGGCTTGGGCTTAGCCTTGGTCGGCATGAACGAATCAGATTCATCCGAGTCCTCCCCGTTGGCCCTCCGTTTCTTCTTCTCCGCCACTTTGAGAGCAGCTTTCGTCTTGGGCTTGTTGGTCTTCGCAGCTGAGACATCGTCCAAGAGCAAGCTTTCCCACTCGGACAGAAATTTGTCCAAATCTCGGTCCCATAGATTCTGAGCCGACAACTTTAACAATTCGATCAGCTCCTGTTCCTTGCCGTCTCTCTCAGCCAGGAGCTTCTCCACCTTTTCTGCCGTCAAGCTCCAGATCGCCATGCCGAGCAGATAATCATAATCGCTAGCTTGCCCCTCATCTTCCTCTTCCAGATTGGGTTCAACTTCACCCTCGTCCTTCTTCTTGCCCTTGGGGAAGGGTTTGAAGTTGAGGGTACGCAATTCGGCTACGAGAACCGCCTTCTTCTTGTTCGAGACTGACAACTCCTTGCTGATGATCATCTGTACGAAACGCGCTTGATTGGAGAGTTTCTCGAATTGTCTATTGAGCTCGTCGGCAAGATGTTGCTGCTTATCAGCGAGAGATGTATACATGTCAAGAAACTCACCTTACGGAGCGCGTAGAATTCGAGGCGCTTATGGAAGAAGTCTGACAATATCTCTTCGGCAGAGGAGTATTTTTTAATCTTGCCGTTCATGTCAAAGCATACCATGTTGCTCGTACTGATGGTGGTCGACATCTTAAATCTCTTCTCGAAACCCTCCTCCTCGGCTGCTCTCATATGATTATCAGCGAGATGCAAACGGAAGTGGACGGTGGTGTCGGTATGATGCTCCTCATAATCCTTCACTGTGCTAGGCACCTTGTCCGTGCCCGTAGTCATCTCTTCTAACATCTCCTTGAAGTCTTGCGTCCATTTGCGTATCGGAAGCTCTGTAATCTCCAGCGTGTTGTTGTTTACTTTTTCGATAATCCCGCTGACTTTGTACTTATCTTGCTCCACTCGTTCGATGCTGCCCCTGAATCCTCGGAACCAGGGATTCATACGTTCCGGTTCTTCACCTCGCATCATTTTACGCAAGTTATTGACGATATCGACAGGATTGTAATTTGGAATGGACGTAGACCAACCGGTCCCAATACCGTCAGCACCATTGATAAGAACCAACGGGACTACGGGCAGGTAGTAATCAGGTTCGATACCCATACCATCCTCGAGCATATAGTCCAAGAGACCGTCGTCGGCGGAGTGAAAGATTGCTCGGGTCATTCGAGGAATTTCCGTGTAGATGTAACGAGCGCTGGCAGCATCCTTACCGCCAGCGATACGGGTCCCGAATTGACCGTTGGGTGCAAGCAAATTGATATTGTTACTTCCCACGAAGTTTTGAGCGAGCCCGACGATTGTGGAGGTCAACGATTGCTCCCCGTGGTGATACGCAGTCTTCTCAGAGACGTATCCTGCTAACTGAGCCACCTTGATCTCTTTTGTCAGATTTCGTTTGAAGCAGCCAAAGAGGACTTTGCGCTGTCCGGGCTTGAGACCATCGGCCACCGAGGGGATCGATCGGATGTTGTCCGCCATTGAAAAGAGGATGAGTTCCTTGTTGACAAAGTCTGAGATTGGGACAGTGTGGACATCATGATCTAGGAAAGTGCCCGGTTTGAACTGCCTGAGCCATTCCTTCCGATCATCCGCTTTCTTCTTATTGAATGCCATATCAATGAGAGCTCGGTCTTCGTTTTTCATCGTCTCGAAGGCTAGTCGATGTCTTTCCAGAGCCGAAAAGTATTTTTTCGCGTCGGCCGAGGTGCTGGTACCGAGACCTTTGTAATATTTGGCGTCCCACCCGCGCCCGTCATTGTGTGCTGCTTTCCATTCTTCATATTGTGGCATAGTATAGAAACTCATCTCCTGTTTGCCTTTGGTCACCTTGACGATGGGAGTGATGAATTCGACAAGAAAATCGGGGATGCGAAGCAAAGACGGGTAGAAGTGATCCAGGAAGTTGATGATAAGTCCTTTGATGTGCGAGCCATCATGATCCTAGAGATCAGCATCCTATTTACAGAGTAGATCCGAAGCGCTCACTTGATCTGTCATGATCATGACATGTCCGTATCTCAGACTGTCGGTAGAAAGATAATCTTGATTGTGTTTCAGACCGAGAATCTGCTTGATATGTTGTATCTCAACATTTTTCACGATTTGATCATGACCTGCTTCGCGAACGTTGAGAAGTTTACCTCGAAGCGGGAACACCCCATAGTCATCGCGACCGACGACACCAAGACCGGAAACGGCGAGAGCTTTGGCGGAATCTCCTTCGGTGAGAATCAAGGTGCACCGACTGGCGTTGCGGCCTCCCGCATTGTTGGCATCTTCCAACTTGACAATGCCCGAAATACTGAGAATTAGCAACATCGGCGGGCCGTCACTCACCGGGAGCGTTTTGCGCCGTCGGACTTCTTCAATATCTGATCTTGCTTGAACTTGGCCCAGTTGAGGACGTTGTCAATGATACCGGACTTTGAGACTGCTCATGAGTGATTTCCATCGGTGGACGACTTACCTTTTTTCACAAAGTCTTCGGACAGCTCGCAGCGACTACCGAAAGCGGAACTTTTGAGCGTGAGAGTCTCCTTTGTCTGGGAGTCGAAGGCGGGGTTTTCAACCAAGGCGTTTACGAAGATCCACATATGATTTTTTATTTGAAAGGCCTTGACCGGAGCAGCTTTATTTTTCTTCTTTATTTGATCCATACTGTGCGTCAGCGCTTCCTCTCGACCTCAAGTATGTATACGCACAGCTTGTTGGCGAGTTGAGTTGAGATCATGTCAACGTGCGTGCCACCTTTGATGGTCGAAATTGAATTGGCGAAGGAGACATGTCGATATTCCCCGTCTGAGAGGGCGAAGGCCACCTCCCATCTCTTGTTTGGAGATTCATATATGATGGTGGGCTTTGGTACCGCTGCGCCACCAGCAGCGTCAGATATGGCCTGCGTGGACGCGTTCAGATACATTTCCACGTACTGACTCGTCAGCCGCTTTCTCGCCGCCAACCGTGCGGCTAACCTGCTTAAACCCTTTTATCTTCAGCCGTTCGTCGTTGAGATAAACTTTAATATCTTTGACGGTCCCTGCCACATCGTACACTCGCTTTGTCAGGAGAGCGTAGGTATCATCATCAATACCGTTCATGCCGAACCGCTTCAGGTCAGGGGTAAACGTGATTCGAGTATACTCTTCGCCCTTCTTGTTGTCGGTGATCTAAACGTTCAGCAGGGCTATGTTGTCTCACGGCTGTACCTTTGGCGGAGATTTCTTGCCCATGTTGTGACTGAAAACCTGTTTGTATTTCTTTCCATTCGTTTTATCCGCCGTTTCTACGACTGTAGCGATAAGACAAGTGGCCACCTTGAAAATGTGGAGCACTTACTGAACTCGAGCGAGTAAATGTTTGCCAGTTTGGCACCATACCCATTACGTCCACCGGTAAGCTTTTTCTGGTCATCATCGTAGTTGCTCGACGTAAGACTAATAGGTCAATCTCGATATCCTCACGGTATTTGAGGAGAGGGGGGCTTACAGATGACCAAATATCAACTCCGGGATCATGATGCCCTCCTTCTTGTGCATTTCAATAGGTATACCCCGACCATTATTATGTACACTAATCTGATTCTTTTCACGGTCTATGTGGATCTTGATGGTGTCCATCGTAGCGTCATTGATCTGACAGCGTCAGCCACAAGCGCCTCCTTCGAACTCTCACCTTGTTGTCGGCCGCATTCACAAGGATCTCGTCGAAGATCTTGAAGAATCCAGGCACAAATGTTGTATTCCTCAAGGATCAGTCGGAAGTCATACACATTCAGACCTCGGCTCACCGAAATACCATAGTTTTTGTCTCTGCATTGAGAACCCACATCATCTGTGTGATAGCCTCTACAGAGCCGATGTAAGAGTCCGGCCTCTTGAGGACGTGTTCCAGCTGAGACAGCTACACTTGTCAATCGGTGGAGTAGGTGTTTGTAAACGACTTGCCTTCTGATACATATCCGACGCACTTCTCTTGGCCCCCGTAGGACCCTCATCTATCTCGTCGACATCCATTGCGTCGGACGAAGCTCTGGCTGGAGCTACTGTCTTGGCTGGAGAAGAGCCGGGGAAGTCATCTTCGGAGATGGAATCGTTGGGCGCATGTTTTTTTGTGGCCAGAGGCGCCTTCTTGGGGGCGGGTTTCTTTGAGGTGGCAGGCTGGACGAACGTCAGCCTAGTTACAACTACAGGCGCCAAGAGCGACTTGCCTTGGTGATCTTCGAGGAAGATGCAACGGCCTTCTTGACAGGAGCAGCGTTCTTCTTACCCTTGACAGGAACAACAAAACCGTCCGAGCCACTGTCATCATCCAAGTGGAAATCGTCTCGAGCCTCGCTCTCGCTAGACATGGCGACCCGAGATGAAAGGAAGAGTGAACGAATCGAGGGACGAGGCGGTATACGGGAGAAAAAGCGATGGTGGAGAGGGAAGGTCTGATATGAACGGGGGTAGCTGAGTGTGAGCGATGGCAGTGAAGTGGTGCGTACGGGGACAAAGGTAGAGCGACGGGACAACAACATGCGACGAAGCGACAAAGTGAGATGGGGTTTGTTGACAGGCGTGGGTTTCCGACGGAAGCTCGACAGTCACGTGAGTCTGCCAGTGTTAGGCTCGTCAAGCAAAGGTGCCCGCCTATCCTGTCATGTCTCCCCCTACTCTGCCCCAACTTGCATGGTGACCGTAGACTTGACCACCTCGGTGACATTAACCTTACCCCTTGTCGATGGTACTCTGAGCTATCACTAAGTAGTTGTATTCTGACTTGGTCCGCTTCATCGCAGGCAAGCCCGCGAACGTCCACCCCCATCCCCCCATCCCCCCCTCCCCCCCCCCCCCCTTTCTTTCAGCTTGACATCCCCCACTCAGTCGACCCAGCCCCCCCTACTTCGTCATGTCATCTCAAAGTCCGTTCGATGACCTTGTTCAGCCGCAACCTCGTCCCTCTCATCGGGCTCCTGCTTTTCAAACCGATCCCTTTGGTGACAGTCTACCATCGTTTCTCGATCCTCAACATTCCCCTGATCCAGGTGTGTCATACGGTGATCATCCCTCCGGATCGAATTCAAGAGACGCCAGCCGACAGCTAGGACTGGATCCCTTTTTCGATGAGTGAGTGTCATGCCATCGTCATCGACTGCTAACTTCTCCCCAAGGTCTTCTTCGCTGATGTATATAGCGACGATGAATACGGCATCTCCGGACACAGCTCTGGCTATCTCGCTCCCGAAGAGTCCACTTCCACCGTCAGCGTTTCCCGACCCTTCAGCCGATCCATTCCTTCAATTGAGGAATCTTCTCTGCCCTTGGCTCAGTCCGGCGCTGTTCCGGCTGGATTCTCCGGGCCTATCGATGATAAGCAGTACCACCCTTCGACCAAGGGCTACTCCAATGGTGTCGACCCTTTTGATGACGACGAAAGCGGACCCTCGGCATATGCTTTTACGGCTCCTGGTACGGGGCCGTATGCTCGACGCCGAAGAAGTAGATGGGCTGCATTCAGAGAGGATCATCTCACCGACATTGACTGGACCTTTGGTGTGAATAGATTACTGCGGAGGAAGAGTAAATTTGAGGGCATGCCACGAGAGGTGACTTTGAATGATCCTGAGGCAAATCGACTCAAGTCCTACGAGAAGAATTCCGTCTCCACTGGCAAATACGGACCCATCACATTCCTGCCTAAATTTCTCTTTTGTAAGCCAGTCACACGCATCTACTCCTCACGCGTTGATGTGCAGCCGAATTTTCTCGCTCAGCAAATCTCTTCTTTCTCTTCACTGGTATGAAATAGCGTCTTCCGGTGGTAGATGCCGTGCTCATATGTGACATAGCCATCATTCAGCAAGTCCCAAATGTCTCTCCAACCGGTCGCTACACGACTATCGTACCCCTAGCAGTCGTTCTGATAGCTAGTGCTTTCAAGGAAATTCAGGAAGATATCGTCAGCCTTTTCTTGATGTGACACATCACTGCTGGCTGACTAACACAGAAACGACATCGTTCCGATAGTTCTCTCAACAACAATCAAACTCAAGTTCTTGTCGGTCAGCAATTCGAACGACGAACATGGCGCAGGATCCGAGTCGGTGATATCGTCAGGCTGGACGTCAACGACTTCATACCAGCCGATATGGTACTCTTGAGCAGCAGCGAGCCTGACGGACTTTGCTACATTGAAACGGCAAACTTGGATGGGTACGGGAATCTCTGGTCTCGTGTGCCCGGCTGACTTCTTCAGTGAGACTAACTTGAAGATCAAGCAGGCTCATCCATCGACTGCGGCGTTGACAAATCCTCACGCCGTGTCAATGTTGCGAGGGCATCTGCTGTCCGAACCTCCAAACTCCTCGTTGTATACCTATGACGGCACATTCCATCTTTCCTCGGCCCTGCCAGGTGCGGCTCCAACCAAGATTCCGGTCGGACCCAATCAGATGTTACTGCGAGGAGCTCAACTGCGCAATACAGCGTGGGTGTATGGAGTAGTCGCGAATGCTGGGCATGAAACCAAACTCATGCGCAATGCCACGTGAGCCGTTTTGTCATTCCGACTCGTGGTCGTTGACGGTCAGAGAGGCACCAGTCAAGCGGACGGCTGTGGAGCGGCAGGTCAACATGCAGATTCTGTACCTCTTCATTCTCCTTCTGATCCTGTCGCTTGTGTCCACCATAGGCAACTGCATTCGTTCCGTGAGTTTCGAGTGTGACATCTAACGGTCACTGATACGGCAGTGGTTCCTCTCAAAACAGACTTGGTATCTGGATCTCGAGGCGGACAGTCCCAACAAAGGTGAGTTGAATCCGTGGCTGTCGTCGTCTCTCGCTGATTACATCAGCACGACAGTTTGTGGAGGGCAAGTCGTTGAAACTACAAATAACTTTAGGCTGATCAAACAGACATCCTGACCTTTATAATCCTTTATAACAATCTGATCCCGATATCGTGAGTTTGCTGAGTAGGGGGACCGTTGGTCATAGTTGATGCACACAGCCTCATCATGACAATCGAGGTTGTCAAGTTCTGGCAAGCTTCTTTGATCAACTCGGATCTCGATATGTACTATTCCCCAACCGACACACCGGCTCTCTGTCGGACCTCTTCACTCGTTGAGGAACTGGGCCAGATTGCATACATCTTTTCAGACAAGACAGGCACGTTGACGTGCAACGAAATGGAGTTCAGGGAGTGCAGTGTCTTCGGAACGATGTATGCTCAGGTAGTGGACGATGCCAAACGGGAGCAAGGTCAACAAACTTTCGAGATTCTCCGACAGAAGGCCGTGGCCAATGATCAGGAAGGGAACACCGTCCGAGAATTGTGGGTGGCGGTGAACGCGCAGAACGGTGATGCTGACTATCAGCCTATCACTACTGGCCGTATGCCATACCGTCATTCCAGAGATCAAAGAGGAGAAGATGGTCTATCAAGCGTCCAGCCCGGACGAAGCCGCTTTGGTACAAGGAGCCGAGCTGCTTGGCTATCGATTTCATGTGAGTCTTCATCACGATAACGGTCAAGATCTCACCTTCCAGACTCGGAAACCCAAGTCGGTCTTCGTCGACATCGCTGGACGTTCGCAGGAATTCGAGATACTCAACGTGTGCGAGTTTAACTCTACCCGGAAACGAATGTCCACTGTGGTTCGCGGACCGGACGGGACAATAAAGCTGTATACCAAAGGCGCTGATACAGTGATCTTCGAGAGACTCGCACCGAATCAGCTGAATACGGAAACCACTCTCTCACATCTGGAGGTCAGTTCTGTACCTGCGGCCAGAATTATGTCTGATGCACAGGACTATGCAACCGAGGGGCTCCGCACTCTGTGTCTTGCTTATCGTGAAATATCGTCCGATGAGTATGGCAAGTGGTCTGTCATGTACGACCAGGCCGCCGCTCAGCTATCTGGGCGTGCTGAAGCCCTCGATAAGGCAGCCGAAGTGATTGAGCAGAATCTCCAACTGCTAGGGGCGACAGCGATCGAGGATAGACTTCAAGACGGGGTGCCAGATGCCATCCACACCCTGCAACAGGCAGGGATCAAAGTGCGTGCCATGTCTGTTCACTGAAGGTAGCTGAACCTTGATCAGATCTGGATCCTGACCGGCGACAGGCAAGAGACCGCCATCAACATCGGCCTATCATGTCGATTGATTACAGAGTCAATGAACCTAGTGAGTCGGAACCCACGAGTCCCGAGCGGCGACTCATGCGCAGGTGATAATCAACACAGACACCGCATCGGAGACCAGTGAGCTGTTGAACAGGCGGCTTTTTGCCATCAAAAATCAACGACTCGGCGGAGATGTGGAAGAGTTGGCTTTGATCATTGGTAAGCTGACATGACACCGTCCATTGGATTCTGGCTCAGCTGTAGATGGGAAGAGCTTGACCTACGCTTTGGAGCGTGATTGTGCCGATGTGTTCTTAGAGTTGGCGGTGATGTGCAAGGTGCGGTTTTCCTCCTTCGGCAGTCTGTAGCTGATGCTCCAGGCTGTAGTGTGCTGTCAGTCGATCGGTTGCGTTCGAGCACTGGCTAATCTGAACAGGTCGAGTGTCCCCCCTCCAAAAGGCGCTAGTGGTGAAGCTAGTCAAGAGAAATACAAAAGCCCCTCTTCTGGCCATCGGCGACGGTGCAAATGATGTCAGCATGATACAGGCCGCTCATGTCGGGGTGGGTATATCTGGCGTTGAGGTGAGCCTGCTTGACGTGGGGGCATTATCCCTTGGCTTACCTAGCAGGGGTTGCAAGCGGCCCGTTCTGCTGATGTGGCCATCTCGCAGTTTCGATTCCTTCGGAAATTACTCCTGGTGCACGGAGCATGGAGTTATCAGCGCCTATCTAAGCTCATCCTCTGTAAGGTCTTGTCTTCCCTATCGGCGCAGAGTGCTGATGTCTAGATTCGTTCTACAAAAATATCACGTTTGCGCTGACGCTGTTCTGGGTACGTCACTATTTTCTTACCTGATGCTATTGACACTTGCAGTACTCCTGGTTCAATGACTTTTCTGGGCAGATCTCCTTTGAGGGCTGGTCCATGTCATACTACAACGTCATCTTCACCATCCTTCCACCTCTTGTCATTGGCATCTTTGATCAGTTTGTCAGTGCGAGAATGCTTGACCGGTATCCGCAATTGTATCAATTGGGCCAACAGAATTATTTCTTTACCCCAGTCACCTTCTTTTACTGGGTTGGCAATGCCTTTTATCACAGCGTCGTATGTCCCGTTCGTCCGCATTGCGCACAGCTGATTTGCCACAGCTCCTGTTCGCCTTCTCCTGCCTCGTCTTTTACAACAACAACGTGCAGTCGGATGGTGTCGACTCGGGTCTCTGGGTTTGGGGGACAACCTTGTATCTGGCTGTCCTCTTGACAGTTCTCGGCAAGGCCGCGTTGGTGTCCGAGTACGTCGAGTCTACCGTACCAGATTATTGCTGATCACATAAGCGTGTGGACGAAGTACACATTGGCAGGTGAGCTTACAATGTGTCTCCAATGAGAAGTGCTCATGAAGCAGCGATCCCAGGATCTTTTGCTTTCACCATGATCGCCCTCCCTCTTTACGCTCTCATCGCCCCACTCGCCAATTTTTCTGTAGCCTATCGAGGCATCGTCCCTCATCTATGGGGCATCGCCGTCTTCTGGTTTGTCCTCGTACTCTTCCCGGTCGTTTGCTTGCTACGTGACTACGTGTGGAAATAGTAGGTCATCTGATACCTGTTGGCCATCCTTTGCTGAATAACTCAGTTATCGCCGAACATATCATCCTACACCCTATCACATCGTCCAGGAAATACAAAAGTTCAATCTCTCTGACTATCGACCAAGACAAGAACAGTGAGCGGGTGATCTCGTGTTAGACGATAATGAAGCTGACATGGGGAGGTTCCAAAAGGCGATCAAGAAGGTACGCGCAACACAGCGAATGCGACGGCAGCGTGGATTTGCGTTCAGCCAGACCGAAACGAACAACCAAGATCAGACTCGGTTGATCCGGGCGTATGATACAAGTCTTGCTCGTCCCTCTGGATATTGATAGCATTGCCAAAATCTAAATGCATGAAGTGGAGTTATGGACGAGTAATCCAGCTTATAAAGAGTCGTGCGTGTCACAAGGCAGACCATCTAGCTGCCATTCGTCAGTTGTGCTGTTGAAAGATATGCGAGCTCACGTCAATGTCAAATTTGACCCACGGCACATGGCCGTGACCGTCTGCGGTTGAAGCGTGAGCATGACGTTGATCGTCATTTAGGCCTCCTCGGAACAGGACTAAACGTAGAGCTTTGGAAGTGGCCCAGCTATCACCTGCAGCTCTCAGCGGTGTCTCGAATGAAAGATGGGCTCAAATCACCTAGCTGAGGCATTAAAACGGCTCTATCTCCCGTATCAAAATTCGCCGGCTTATTCTCGGCGGTCAAAAGCTTGGTAGCCAGCTGGTTATTGACCACCACCTGCTCGTCAGCCGTATCTCAACAAGTGGACCATTTCGCTCACCGCGCAGCCGTGCATAGTCGACGCTCGAGCTATCTCTTGTTTGGCCAGTTCCATGAGACGTCTTTTGACGCCGAGGTCTAAACCTGGATGTCGAAAGTGAAAACTGAGAGTGTCAAAGACGACGAGTTCGGTCTGGTGGTCAGAGTGAAAGCATGGATCGAATATAACCATCGTACAGCTGGATGACTGTCCAACCACTCGTCCAGAGTGTGTAACAAAGCTACCATCTGTACTTGTGTCGCTACCCGGATTAAATGAATACCGTCGAGGATTGAGACAGGTGAGACTGTTCGGATCAGCAAAGAGGTTGGTACGTTGATGGGCCAAGCTCACTTTCTGAAGCACGAACAGCCGCCTGAGCCGCGTGGAGTAGCCGCTCGGGAGTTATAGAACCCTCGGTGTCTGCGAGATATGAGCGAAGAAGTAGTCTCGCCAATGTGTAGACGAACCTATGATGAGTACCTCTCCTTTGGTCTGACCAAATTGTCCTGATGGCGCCGCCGAAGTTTCCAGTGCCCCAATCCGAGCACTCAACACGAGAGCTATCGATAGGACCGTCTTACCGCCCCCGGGGGGACCAGATATTTCCACTACCATACCTGGACTGATCGCGCCGTGATGCCTTCCCCGCTTGGCCAGCCTACGTCCCTCCCCATCGGCGTTGCCATTTTCAGAAAAGGACCCAGTCAGGGACCTCTCTATCAGTCCGTCGAGTGCACTGGAGAATGTGGAGAAGCAACGGGGAGATGCGGTGGAAAGGAGTTCGGAAGCTGTGAGCGCATGTACATGCTGTCGAATGTCTTTGGAGGTCGAAGGGTCTACAACGACGTGTGTGTGAGACGGTCCTGCTGCAAAGACGTCAGACAAGCACCGGCTGACGACTTGACGAGGACATACCTCTCGCTTCATCTGCCTGCCTGAGAAGATCCGTAGCCTCATGACGAGATATTGTGAGCTCTTTTAGTGAGCCGCTGCTTGAACGGGAACGAACAAGGTCAACTTGCCTGAGCAAAGGTCTTCCGGGTTTAGACCTAACAAGTCATCCACATCGTGATATTGTGCTTGTAGAAGCGCCGTCTTGACATTTCTTCTGATCAAGTCAGTAACAGTGAATACAAGTGGTAAGGCTTTGCCTCACGGAAGAGATAGAGAAGAGATTGTTGGCATATATATGAATTGATAGTTGTGATATGGTAAGTTACTCGCTGCATGCTGCATGCGTTGCAGATACCGACGTCGATCGAAGCATGGGCAATCATGTCTATATTCGTACCCCCCCTTTTAGCACCTCTCTCACTGGGGCCGCGCGTTCAGACTACTAGTTGACCTTTGACACCACCTCTCACAACCTACTTCTTCCTCACATTCCACCCTCTGCCCATCATGGTATGTCCTCTTCGTATCTCTCTGTCAACTCTCCGCTGACACTATAGAGTATTATGGAATACAATGGAGGTTCGGTGGTGGCCATGATCGGTAAAGATTGCGTAGCCATAGCTTCCGACTTGAGATTGGGCCAGCAGTCCGTCGGTGTGGCTATGAACTTTGACAAGGTCTTTCCGGTCAATGACAAGCTCTACTACGGCCTTCCTGGTCTAGCTACAGATGTCTACACATTGTGAGTGTAGTGTCTCAGTCAACATCTGTCTTTGGTCGACGCACCACCACAGAGAACCTTGACTGACCGCTCAGACGTGAGCAGCTGCGATTCCGAGTCAACATGTATCGCATGAAGGAGGAGCGTGAGATTACCCCCAAGACTTTCACACACTTGGTCTCCTCTACGTTGTACGAGAAGCGGTGAGTCGCCGATGATGCTCGGTGATATCACACACGCTGACCACAAGATTCGGACCGTACTTCATCGAACCTGTCGTCGCTGGACTTCCCTCACCAACAGAGCTAGACCCCCATCCCAAACCCTTCATCTCCACCATGGATACGTAAGTCGTTGCCCTACATCGCAGGGACCTTGCTCATGCCCTGCAGCATCGGATGTATCACCACCCCCAAAGATTTTGCCGTTGCCGGGACAGCCTCCAACAAGCTTTTTGGTGTTGCGGAGGGGTTATGGGAGCCTGATTTGGTGGGCGTCTTATATTCAAGGTGGTCGATCACCTGGCTGACAAACATAGGAGCCTGAAGATTTGTTCGAGACTATCTCTCAAACGCTACTGAATGCTGTTGATCGTGATGCGCTGAGCGGATGGGGTGCAATCGTCCACGTCATGTGAGTTCCACTCGCTTATATGGCTCAGTGCTGACTCCGAAGAACACATGACAAAGTGATCACTCGGCAGTTGAGAGCACGTATGGATTAATGTAATTTGACCAGAATCGTACCTTCATTGATGCATGCATGTACATGACTTACGCTCAAGGCCAGATGAGAAACGCATGCTGCTTGGTTGATCTCACGACACGATATGCTGTACGATACTTGTATAGACTAGAAATCCTTCTTCATCTGTCTAATCCAGGTGGAAATGGGAACGTCGAGGGCGGCTGGCCAAGGGAAAGTAGGGCTCTTCACACCGCTAGCCCCAGCTGCTTCATCAACTCCTTGTTCTCTTCGATGTTGCGTAAGCGTTCGAGATCGTACTCGCTCGGCTTGGTAGCTAAAGGTCAACGTAATCGTCGATAGATTCATTGTCACGGATGACAATAGTACTCACGTTGCTTGGCTGCCTTCTGCGCAGCGAGCAATTCATCATTAAACTCCTTGACGAGCTGGGTAGCACGATCACCAAACCAAGTGCTGAGTTTCGATCGTTCGATCCATTCCTCCTGGATGGTCTTGCCTTCTCGCCATCGAGCTAACCACATCGAGGACCATTTCTTGCTAGAAGCTTTTTGCTTGAACCTTTGTCTGTCCAATAGGGTGAGGAGTGCTCGGGCTGATCTCGTCAGCTATACGCCCCTTCGCTCGTCGCCAAAGTTGCGGGTGCGCCGAGCTTGTGGATGTAAGAGGCGCCGTTCCTTGACAACGGGTATAGCGCAGATCGGGGAGATGGCGAGCGAGCGATAGGCGAACTGCGACTCACCATGGGTCTTCTTAGGCTTGGGGACAGTTTTGACAGGCAGGGGAACAGGGGAGATGAGCTTTCCGTGATAGATACGCATGGCGAGGTCTACTGCAGCAGATGATATGTCACCACGGGATTTGATCTGTGCAATCGTGTGCCAAAGACGTTGACAGAGTGGGGATGGAGGGACAGTGAGGCTTTGGTCGCAATACTGAACGAGGTAGACGCGCGGGTTCAAACTCCTACTCTCAAGGATGGTGAAAGGATGATCTAGGAGGTCAGATTATAGCCAATCCCTCTTTTCTCCTGGTTTTTGAGATCAATAGACTTCGGCCGTTCACCTCCTTTCATTCTGCCTTGAGTCGTAAGCGCAAAAGATGCAGTCGGTGTGGAAAGGGCCATATAGCAAACATAAGGAAGGGGAATGTACCATGGAGTACTGAATCTCATCAGCCTGGGTTTTAGACGCTCACCTCTTCCCTCAAATTGAGACAGCAGCTTTTCTGCCCCATCAAGTAATGTCGACCTCATCTCCCACGTATCGTGTTCTGGCCCGTATCCCGCCCATCGCACAAGATATTGATACTCGAACACGCCATCAGGTCCGTATCCGCGTCCATACGACCGAGCCATCAAACGCTCGACGACGAACACCCCCGGATCATAATGATTGACAAGACGGGATTGGGCCTCTACAGGCCGCTTGGAGACTGCGAGAGATGTTGACGAGGACGAGGAGGACAAGGGTCGCTTGCGCTTGGGAGATGTTCGAGGGGATGAGCGAGTGCTCTCTGCCGGTGTAGGAGGAGCGAAAGGTGGTGCTGGGGAGTGGAACGGTTGAACGGAAATCTTCATGATGGGATCGGATTGCGCACCAAGGAAAAAGGGGCGTTCCACGTTGGAACAGACTGGAGTCCTCGCTACAGTGCTGCAGAGTGCTGTACTAGAGAGAGAGAGAGAGAGAAACAGATGATTGATGCTCAAAAGGTCGGGTCGAGTAGAGTCGAGTCTCAAAAGGGGAAAGAGGAGATTCGTGCCTGGTCGCCTCGGCAGCGGTGCCTGGCACGCGAGATTCATCCCTGAAACGAGCTAGACTGTCTGTTTACAAAGCGTCGCGCTCTCATCCCGCACTTACTGTACACCTTTTAATGTATTGTACAGTTGCCAGTATGAGTACTGAACAACACTCGAGTATCATTCATTCCTCAGTGATCACTGTCCTCGTGGGCGTCCTCTCCCCTGGCTTGGCCCTTCCCAGCATACGGCTTTTGTCTCGGATCCTTTACCCTTCCTCCTGCCGCTGACGTTCCTTGAGTCCGACATGGCACATCACTGAGAGATCCCGATCGATGAGTCCTTCATCCTGACAAATACTCAACCGACGTTCGGCGTGCGGATCATTCATGATCCTCTCCATCTTTTATAATCTCGGTCTCTTCAATTTATATGGGTCCGTGATCCGGATTGGCTCTTGCAGCATGCCGACTCCGACGGTTCCGTCCCTCCTTCCGTCACCGGACGAACAGTGTTGGAGATCCAGGGGAATGAATCGTTCGGACACCGAAACATAGAGTGGGGGGTTTTGAACCGTGAAAGAGGCAATTATATCTGCTTACGTCTTTTATGGGACCCTACTCATCAAAGCTACAGTGTGTACGTACTCGGAATCCCTCCCCCCCTCGTCAATCACCCCTTCAACAGCCCTCCTTCTTCCGAACCTCATTGTCTGAACACCCACTTTGACCCACCCCAGAAGTTTCACATCTCATGCGTTGAAGGGTTGAACCCTCGACTGACAACAGTCCGGAGAAGGAAGCGGGCGTAGCCGACGTGGGGGTGCAGGGGTGTCTGATACATATCAATCCCCTCTTCACTTTGACACGCTCCCCCTCCTTTCAGTGACGTCGACCGCATGTTTCCATTGTGCACAGTGTACCACGGGTCGGTACTGAACGTCTGATTATAGCGAATCTCCTCCCTTGCCCCCTTGTCCTCCCTCCCCCCCCCCCCGGGCGCCCCTTGTCCCCTCGCTCCCTTACGCCCTCGCTTCGGTCTTGCGTCGGAGCTGGATCTCATCCGATCGTCCAAAGCGGGAACCGAAATCTTCCCAACGCGCTCGGGCGCAACAACCCCCGAACGTGTCCTCACTCCCACCCGTTCACTAGCTTGGAAAGGAGGACTCTCTCCCCTTCCCGATCCCCAGCGGAGGTGTGAAGATCGCCGACAAATTCCGGGCGCAACGATCCCAGTGCTAAACAGGACCCTAGGTACGATCGTCGGTCGAATTCTGCGCGGGCGTCGGCGTGGGCGGAGCAGGGCGAGTGCGGCCAGAACACCAAGGGCGTCGTTTTTCCACGGTGAACGGCGATTGACCTTTCGGTCATTGGGATTATCTCTTTTCCTTTTATTTCATCCTGGTGTCATTGCAAAATGCCTCGTATCGTCCAACGCACGACAGTCAGACGCCCAGCATCCAGCAGTCGCCGTTCACATACCGAGAATCGGCGGCAATCGGGTCATGCTGACACTCCGCCTAACGACATCTTCTGACCATCCCATCTCCCCATGTCGCATATACGTCCCATGGCGGACAGCAGCAACAGGAAGCTTCACTTTATAAGCTGTAGTAACTGGCGAGTTTTTATTTTCCTATCTCCTCGTGGATCAGACATGACTCCCCACTTATTCGCCCCTTTTCTTTTCTGCTCAATGTCGCTGACGAAGCAGTCGAGCTCGCAAGGTAAAATGTACCGGAGAGAAACCGATTTGTGCAAATTGTGAGAAACGAGAACTCCTTTGTCACTACGACGATCATGTTCGGCGACGTGGACCAGACAAGCAGCCAGGAGGTCAGTCGTGTCTCGTCTCCTCTGTCGACCTTTTCCCACTGACTACCAGGTCGATTGAGGGGAAAGAGCAGGGGCACATTCCAACGTCAAAGCGTCGAGAGTACTCAAGCAGATGCAGGCGTCCGCACACCACTCTTCATACGTGACCATGCCAGAGGGTCAGCGACAAGTGGCCAATCTGCCGCTCGGTTCGAGGAACCTGTCCCTTATGCGGAGAGCTCTGCTCAGGCTGCCGCACGCAACCTACGTCAGGTGATGCCCGCGACGACAAAGAATGAGACCCACTCCACTCCTTCTTTCATGCCGTTGTATTCGCCACCGGGCGACATCGCCGCCGCCAGGGAAGGCTGGTGGACTTGGATTCTTCGAGCGTATTCCGGTGATCGAGTCGCTGCTCGAACCAAGGTCATCAACAACGTCAAAACATTGCGAGTTCACCTTTCTCTCGATTCACCCTTTGGTTCTCAAGCTGATTGTATCCAGCTTCGCCGATGGTCAGATGTGGCATAACTTTCTCAATCGCACCGTTTTCTTCCGCTGCCTACAATCCACGGGAGATCATATATCACTCGCACCTAACATCGTCCTCGCCATGCTCGCCCACGTAACTTTGATACAAGAAGGCAATACTCTACCCGGCCAACTTCGCGCTCTAGACTTTGCCGACGAAGCCCGGAGGATCACCGATTACTGCCTCCAATCAGGTTCTCGGGAACCCGCACACGCTCAAGCCGCCATCATCTTAGGTGTGTACGAGATGCATCCTCATTCCCACCATTCGGCGGCACGTCTCAACGCGGCACTGGTTTATATGGATTCCTGTCTTCGAGCCTGTGTTTCACAACGTTTGGATGTGGACAATCCTCACATATCCGCAAGCTTGGTTGGCTCTTTACGTCAACAGCTGCCTTCTCCGTCGAGGACAGAAGGTGCAGCGCCACACGTCAAACGATGGGTCAACTTTCCAGCATGGTCCGAAGAATGGACTCCCGCCGAAGTTCAGAGGGAAGAGATGCGGAGGATGTTTTGGTCTGCGAGTGCCGTCACTGCGAGCGCTGGATTATGGAGATGTACCATCGGTCGGGCACCACTGGTATTGTCCTCCACATTACCAGTCAACGTCAGTATTTCCCTCGTACACTCAATCAAACTAAGACTAATGACTAAAGTTCTCCGTCTTATATCCTGGTGAGGCGTACTATCAACAGAAAGGCGAATGGGAGCGGGGGAAACTCACTCCTTGGGCTTTATACCATCGAACGATATCATTGTGGCATATGACCGTCAATTCCGGGAATGTGGACCGTGCGCGTCGGAGTGAGATCGTACAAGAGTTGCAGGCGATTGAAGAGGCTCTGAGCATGTTTTCCGACATGGCCGACTATTATATCTGGCAAGCGAAAGATTGGATAATTGGTGAGTTCCTTCTTGGCCTCACTGAGGTATCTCCGCAGTCCGAGAGACCAAGTAGCATGAATTATGCTGATACTGTTAGTAACTCGAATGTTTCTGAACGCCGTTAATTGGAGCCGCTTAGACTCTTGGTTTCAGCGTCGTCTTGTCACCCTTGCTCAATTTGCCGATCCTCCCGACGGTATACCCAAAGTTACTCAACGACCATTGTATTGCTGGTGGTATTTGATGCAAGGATTTGTGTGAGTTTCCGATCCAATGCCTCTCTCCGTCCATTGACTGACTCCATCAGAGCGATACAGCTTTCTAGAATGAGCAGGTCTTATTGGAGAGATGCGGATGATATCCTGGAGTACGTTTACGATGCCTTGAAGGCTATCTCGGAAGTCTGGCCATGTTCAGGTGAGTTCCAGACTTTTGCCCAAGCTCTTCCTGCTGATCTGTAGCCGTAGAACAGGCATGGTTGACATTGCGAAAGAAACATGACGAATGTCTGAAACTGCGAAACGAGGGTGGAGCAGAAAGCTCGTTGATCGGCCCCTTTTACCCCCTCGTTTGAGACAGGATTTACATGTTTAACTAGGAGTAATAGACATGAGATGAACGATGAAATATGCATGATAACGATGATGTTGACTATCGTACAATGTGTTATCCTGACTCCTACGAATCTATGACATGCCCATGTCATCGTCTGGATCATCCCACCCTTCAGGTCCTTCAGGTCCTATCCGCCATGAGAACTTTGTTCCCTCTTTACTCCCACCGACTTTGTGAGACCTCGACACTCGGAACAGCCCTCGGAAGTTTTGCAACTCCAATGGCTGTTCCATCCTCATAGCATCTACCAAAGTGATGTCCGCTGGTAATTGCATTTGTCGGTCTCGGCCTATCAAGGTGAACTGAAGATTTAGCGGCCAGTGGAGAGGGTCGTCACGAGATCGTACCGGTTGATCGTCGGGGTTTGTGGTGAAAGGTGTAGGATATGGAGGACTGAGATGAGGAGTGAAGAACTGTGTATGTCCGGCTTGCTAGTAACATTCAGCCGCGACTGTTATCAGAAGTATTGACTCACCCAGAATCCTTGGATCGTTAAAACGACAACGGCTCCTAGTTCCTTCCTTAATCTACCAACCATTTCCATTACATCCCTCATACCCACGTCATCTCCTCCTCTCAGCCCTTGTGCCTTCCGTCCCGATCTCTCCTCTTCATGCCATCGCTCAGGCCAGAAGCCATCGGCAAATCCATCACAAATGACCAGCGACATGCCATGATTCGTATATCTTAGACCACTGAAGTCGAGAGTGAGGTCGGGAGGGGAAAGAATCGATCTCAAAGCCAAATACCAATCATTCCACCTTGGCTTGATCCGAATAACCCCCAATCTGGCTAATGAAGTTCGGACGATCGTGTCGATGATGGGGGAAATATCTCCATCATCAAATTGAGTTTCTGTTGAACGAGCAGCACTGATCATGGATGTTACATGGGACCGCATAGATTTCGCCAACGTCGAAACGATTGATCGGTGGGTGACAGGAAAGATCAGACTGGCATGGGCATTTCTTCCTCCTAATGGCACTTCCGTACCTCCGGATAACTTGATGGAAGACGGCAGAAGTGTCGTGAGAAGTAAGAAGGATACTAGACTCGTCTTGCCTAAATCTTGATCAGCGAGAATCGAAACATTCCATAGTGAACTCGCCCGAACCACTTGGCCCGATGATCTCCACCAGATCGCCCCTTTGCAGAGTCGACGATCCGACATGAGGACGGTGTTGAAGAAGCTTGTCATCTAAAGAACCTAAGAAGGTAGGACCGAAGGGTGAGTCTCGGGAGTCAGCCCTCGATTTAGGTAACTTAGAGAGACGGCTCCTTACTGGTGTACCGGACCGAGAGGATGAGCTGCAACGTATCAGCTTTGCCGAGTGAGATGAAGGAGATGCCTAACTTCTGCAGCTGTACCGTGCCCAACCTCGGCCAAGAGTGATGCTGTTGTTCTTGGTTGAGCTGAGGATACTGTAGTGTTTTGCGCCATGACTACATGATCATGTGAGAAGATGACTACATATGCAACCTGAGCGTTCAACGTCGTCTTCTCTTCGATCGCTCTTCCATCCTTCGGCGTCAAAATTTCATTTCATTTAGTTAACTTACTTAATTTGACATCCTTTCCGACTTCTAAACCTAGATCAGATTTTCTTTCTTCTCTCACTCACTTGTCCTCACTGTCAAGGCCATCATGTCAAACACCGTGAGTGTCCATAACTCTAGGTGAGAGTCCTGATCGCTGACATCAGATACGATCCCCAGAACTGGAAATCTCTTCCATCCTCCACGGCGGTATACATCACCCTCTTCTTCGATCATGGCAGGCGAACGGTCGAACCCTCACCAAATCCATGTTCATCTACCCTATCTTCATCTCGGACGATCCTGATGCTGAAGAGATCATCTCCACTCTACCTGGTCAAAAGAGATGGGGTATAAACAAACTCGAAAGTTTTCTCGGACCTTTGGTGAAGAAAGGCTTGAAATCTGTCATTCTATTTGGCGTACCCATGAAGATTCAAAAGGTTAATCATCTCACTCCTTCTGATAAATCATCTCCAATTTGGTTCAAAACAGAGAAAGATCTGAATTAGAGAGAGCTGATAATGTTAGGATGCAATTGGGTCAGCCGCCGATTCCCCCGAAACTCCAGTCATCTTAGCATTGCAACTTCTATCGAAACTTTTCCCCCAGCTCTTGCTCGTCATCGACGTGTGTCTATGCGAATATACTTCTCATGGTCATTGCGGTATTCTTTCTTCACTTCCTAATCCAACACACTCCGATCAACCCACTATCGATGCTCAAGCTTCAGCGGAAAGAGTAGCAGAAGTAGCTATCAATTACGCCAAAGCCGGTGCTCATGTCGTCGCTCCGAGTGATATGATGGACGGTCGGATCAGGACTATAAAACTGGGTCTCATGCGCTCCGGACTAGCGAACAGATGTGCCATCATGAGTTATTCTGCCAAATTCGCTAGTGGAATGTATGGACCATTCAGGGATGCTACAGGGAATGCGCCGATGTTTGGGAATAGGAAATGTTATCAACTTCCTCCCAACGGTAGAGGCATAGCTAGGAGAGCGATAGTGAGCGATATCTTGCATTCCGTCCTCAGATGTGATGACTGATCAATTAGAGACGAGACGCCGCGGAAGGTGCAGATATCCTCATGGTCAAACCTGCTTTACCATACCTTGACATCATCTCAGACTGTGCCCAGATCGCTCCCGAATATCCCACCGCTTGCTATCAAGTGTCAGGCGAATATGCTATGGTCGTCGCTGGAGCTGAGAAAGGCATCTATGATCTTAAGTCGATGGCTTTCGAAACCACCGAAGGGATGGTCCGCGCCGGTCAGTCCCTCCCTGACACAAACACAGATCTGTCTTTGATCAAACAGGAGCCAGCATCATCCTCAGTTACTTCACCCCTCAATTCTTGGATTGGTTGGACGAAGAACGTTGATTTCCCCTCCGCACAAGGAGTCATTTTGTCTACTTATCATCCCCTGCACAAGTCTGCATTATCATTTATTGCAGCTGTCCACATCATATGCCATGTGTTTGCATGAAACTGTCGTGTACGTGTGTGTCTGTTCGCCTACTAATAATCTCAACAACAGGGTACGTGTATAACCCCGAAAAGAACTGTCCGTGTCTCGTTGCCATGCAATTGTTCGTGTATCGTATTGCTTCTTACTCCCATCTAATACAGCTCGCCCTGACCTGATCGCGTAACTTAATCCTGCGTGTGATGATTATACTTTCTCGTTTTGTATTATCTTTGTGATTCGACTCATCTGACATCGCTGGCTGAATCCTCATCAATCTTGCTCGTCCCACCAGGCAGGAGGGAACTCTTTCTCCGACTGCTCGCTGCCGCACTCGGTTTGACAGGTGCGCTCTGTCGTCTTCGTTTCTTCTTGGGTGTATCGGAACCTGAATCCAGCTCAGCTGTCGAAGGTCGACCGTCCACAGGGAAATGAACGGCGGCAGGGGCTGTGCCACGTCGGTCTGATCGAGTGGGCTTGGTCATGAACGCCACGCCGAGTCGTTGTAAGACGTCCGACGAGTCAAATTTAGCGGGAAGGAAGACGACAGGGGCGCTTGAAATACTGGGGAGATGGAAGGCCTGAAGCGTTAGCCAAGCCCATTCACTATGTCCGCATGCTGGAGCGGGGACTACCCGCACAACTGATGTCCAACACGCGGTCCAGAGTCGAAAAGGCTTCAGAGAAGGAAAGAATAAGATATGTCAACTCACCACCCCCTCCGCATGCAAGCCTTGCACCATTCGTACAAATGGAGCAACATCCTGATCCTTACATAAAACCATACCCTGTCCCGCGGGAGTGTAACCTTCTCGTGCCAGATGAGCGACTGGTATCATGGACGATGTCGAGTTGTCAACGGGCCCAGCTTGCTCCGGAGGATAAACAATCGTCTGAGGCCACGTGTTGACCTGCCTGATATGTCAGCTGAGGTGCGGAATATTGTGCAACTGACGTGAGGACGACAACAGAGACTCACCACAAGTCGGACGCTTCAGCCTCCCCGATGATCAATATCCCGAATTTACCGCCATTCTTCCCTCTGAGCACCAGATCTCCCTGCCACAGCCCGACCTTGCCCTTCTGCAGATCTTTGAACGAGGGGTTGAAAAACATGCACATGGGTGGAGGCGGAACGAACTTTTCAATGGGCATCGGTAATTTCCAGCCGACGGACGGATGAGGATGAGAGCGGGAAGAAGTGGGAGTAGGAGGGACCGTTTCAGGTGAAAGCACTTGAGTGGAAGTCGAGTTCTGTCTAGTAGACGGTAATGTCTGAGAACTGTGTGGCGCCGTTCCGGGGAGGGATGGAGAGTCCAGACGATCCGTCTCCGGAGTAGGCAGTTGATACAACGCCAGATCTTTTGTCTTCTCCTTGACTTGCTCATCCCATTCAGCCAACTCCTTCGAAACAGCATCATCTTCTCGGTCTTCGATCGCGGTGATCAAGTCGTTGATGACCTCGTTTTGGATGGCATCACTGACCATAGTCGAGGACCTTGTCGGTTCAGTGTGTGGGAAGTAATCGGTGATCGGGGCTTCGGGAAAAGTGGAGCCTTTGGGGGTTGTACCGAGGAAGGCAGCGATATCCAAACCACTAGGAGTGAGATTCATCCACTGTTGGACGTCTGTCTCGTCGAATGCTTTCGTAGGTGTTGCCGGACCGTAGATTTCTTTGCTGAGCTGAGCGGTGAAAGGTGATGATGTGTCGCCCACATGTTGTGAGAGGAGACCAGCAAAGATGGCGGGTTCCCAATGACGGACGGTGAGAGCGTAGAGATCTTTGAGGTTTAGTGCAGCGTCAGGAGATGGAGCAGATATTCGCGTCACACCCTTTGCCTCTTGAAAGGCCAGAGACATGAAGATGTTCGACCAAAGACTCAATTGAGTGACGGCATCTCCTCCTCCTCTTTTCCACACTTCATGTAATAACCTCGACACTGCGACTGGCCCTATATCCTGCACTTCAACCACGCTTGAGAGAATGGTCTTCCAAACGAGGTCTGAGCCAAACTGGGCTATCCGACCAGGAGTGAGGGGTAGTTGAGGATCGGGTGAAGATGAGAAGATTGATGGCTCCCCTCCTCCGTCCAGTGCTCCTGCAGTCGGGTGGCTCGTAAGCTTGACTGTCGGTGGAGTGGGAGTGTCATGGACCGAAGGATAGGGGGAAACGGAAGAGATCAGACGACCAGTGGCGGGGGGTGCAGCCATGGCGTCGAACTCGTTACCAAACCCAAAGAAAAAGCCTGTTTCCGACGTCGCTATTGAACCAATATCTGGTGTACCGCCGAGAGTCGAGGGAAGGGATGTTCCGGGCGTGGTTGAAGGAGGGTAAGACGATCTCCTCCTGGAGAGTGATTGTCTCAAACTTGAAATGTGGGGTGGTAGGAATGGCGGGAAGGGAAGTGGTGATGAAACAGTATTTATCGGGGTGTTGTTTGAAGATTTCGCGGGGGGCTGGGAAGAAGAAAGCAGATGAGATGATGGAAGTAGGTGTAAATCGATAGAAGAGTGAATGGACGGTACGAATGAGACACTGTTGGCGTGAAGAAGTCGAAGGGATGTGGCTTGAAAGGAAGACTGCTGTGACGGCGTGTCAGCGAACGACTGGGGTTGGACTTTTCATTCAAACGGGGGACTGGGAGGAGTGAGGATGTGACCCGGGACGCGGGACAGGTGGGTTGAGGTAGGTTGGGATTATCAGAGATCCGGGAATTCAGAAAGAGGGAGAGAAAGGGATAGGCGGGTCGATTGGGTAAGGGGGGATTGGGCCTAGACTCGGTGTGTGGAGTGAATATGTATATATATCCTTATGCCTTTGTCCGTCTGTGCGGTAGATGATCATAGATCATAGATCATGGATGAACTCGTCGGGGGTAGTCTGTAGATGAGAGATGATGCAGTGACGAGAGGTGGCCAAGGTAGGTGAGGTGAGCTCGAGTTGATAGGGAGGAGCCTAAATGCAGCACAGTAGTCGCAGTGTCTTATTCCACAGTTCACCGAGGTCTATCTATCCATCTGTCCGTGCTCGATGCGATCCCAAAGGGCCAACATCGAAGTCCCCCAAGCTGCAAGACATTACGGGAGTGAGACTCACGAGTGAGGGCGTTGTTATGTGTCCAGGATGGTCAGGAGGAGACTCATCGCCACTGTGTGCATCAGCGACAACCCCAAGCAGTCGAAAGTGCGAGAGGGTTTGTCCAAGAGACATGTCAATCACTAAGTACTACTAGGCCTAGGCCTACTACTACTGGTGAAAAGCCATGTGCCGAGAGATGAGACGTACCTTTTCAACCCGACTGTTCTCTCCTCAGGAGCGTTCATCACACTCGTCGTCATCTCCTCTCTTGTCCCGTCACCTCAAGTCACGTTCAGCAACAGTTTGTGCTGTGAGAACGAGTGCAAGGTCAATCAAACCACTCGAATGGCTCCAAATGACAGAGTGGCGAGGGAATTTGTACTTGATGATCCGTCTGTCGGACCGGTGGATGACTTTGGGGTGTGTGGAGTCGTTAAAACAAACAACGATGATCTTGATGGTCTCAGACCAGATTGGCGAGTTGTGACTCAAGTGGCGTTGACACTACTATGGAAAAACAAAGTACGAGTAAGTGTGGGATAAACGACGAATGATCCAAAGATTTCTGGGCATCTCCAATCCTCCATAAAAAGTCGAGATGGGAGCAAGCCAGGGCCAGGGCAGGACCGGACGGCAAGGGAGAGACTACTGCGCAGAAATCAAGGAATCACACCCATCCTTCGCCACCCACCCTCACTCCTTCGGGTCTCAGTCGCCGGAAGGTGTCTCTGTTCAACGTTCCGCTATGTTCCCTATCGCCTGTCCCAGGCCTTTGACAGGAACAGTTCAGTCCAAAGTCTCCTCGGCAGTTGCTCCAAAGATTGCTCCAAACAACCCACGAACCCAACTTCCCGCACAACACAAAATCTCTTCCCGCACAACATTTTGGGCGCCTAATGAGCCAGATGCATAGAATTGACATGCCTAACTTCCAAAACAGCTTGGGCCTCCGCCATCAGGTGGAGGCCATGTTGATGGATTACCGTTAGGGGGTTAGGGGTTTAGGGGGTTAGGGGGTTAGGGAGGTTAGGGGGTTAGGGTGGTTGGGAGGATATTTACTAATTGGACAAGGGTGATCAGGGAGTTAGGCGTGTCAAAAGACCTCTACCATGGGTTAGGCGCCCAAAATGTTGTGCGGGAAGAGATTTTGTGTTGTGCGGGAAGTTGGGTTCCAACCCACACATTCCACCCTCGGAGCTCACAGCGAAACAATCTCCGAATGCATGACGTCGTGATATGTACCTGGGGATCTCTCCCTGATTGCCATGCCCTGCATTCTAAAAATGCTCCTTGACAAACTTGACATCTACGTTAGGAGTCTTACATTTCATCGCTTCAGTACGGATGACCCTAGCTAGGTTGTTTGGCTGTCTAGTCAGCGTCACTCCTCACACGTCGACTGGTCACGCATGGGGAGGAGTCGTGCTAGCAACACTCACGCCACAGAAATAAACACCCAAGCGAGTGCGTAAACTTGCCTCCCTGCCTTGAAGATACGATCCATTCTCGATACTGTTCGAGAGCGACGAGAAGATTTGGCGGAAATCTGGTCGACCGAATAACGTCCGGGAACGGAGGAGAGTCAATGGACTGGAAATGTCAGCTAACATCAATCGGTGCTAAGAGCGAGGAAGACGTACTCGTACTCTTGTCCCACGCTGCCCTATCAGTGATCCCCTCTTAATACGTAGGAACAACTCACTCATTGATCGCAATGTTTTGTACGGCGTCAATGTCCATCTTCTGTGTCAAGTAGATCTGCTCAGATCAGCTACGCGTTGGATAAGGGAGGAACGACTTGCCGAGATGCGTAAAAAGTTGGCTGTCAGGTTAGTGAGGGGAGATCTTTGTGGTCACTCACGATCAGTCTGGGCAGCTTCAATTTCTTCCAAAATACTCTGGAACCAACCGAACGAGCCTGATTGATCAGCAACAACATATGAGGGGACTTTTTGCGTCTCACCGGTATCACGGCACGACCAAATGAACTCGACTCTGCGCAGAGCACCAAGACGACCGGCCTTTTGAGCGTACCAGATATGTTTTAGGATGGATGCAAATGGCTACTCGGTGAGCTATCCTCTCTCATGAGTGGCAAAACCACTTACGGTTACACCAATACCAGCACCGATCAAGACAGCGACTTCCGATTTGAAAACGTCTTCGGCGGGTGCACCATATGGTCTGGTCGCGTTAGCGCACATCATCACAAGAAGGCACCGACTCACCCATCAATCCTCAATGTGGGCATACCCAAACCAATACTGCTTGGGTTGATCTCAATGAAGTCTCCTCGCCTACCGACATCTTTCTCCCCGACCAACTGTTCACCGCTGACTGTGTTCACCTGAGCACCCAGTCGGGCACCGAATGCTTTGGTAAAATCTCCGACTTGACGTATATGGACCGAGACGAATGGATCTTCAGGAGCAGAGGAAATGGTGAACTACTTGGTCAGCTCAAGACACTGAAGAAGTGATGTTGAACTTGCCGGATGCCATTGAAACTTTGAGACATCGGGACAGTTGAGGAACAGCCATTGACCGGCTTTGTACTTGAAACTTGGCTTGACGAAACGGACTTCAAGAGCGCCAGATGGGTGAGAGAGGACTTTGACGATATTGGTTTGACGTCTGGCACGAACCTCGCGCCACATTCTCTCACCAAAGTACTGTCAGTCAGTCATCCCATCGACGACATATTTGACTTCTCAACGGTGAAAGTGACTTACCAAGATCCCAGGCCAGATGGTGAACCTCCAACTCTCGTATCCGAGACAATGATCAGTCGAGTAGAAGGGAAAGGTAGGGATGTAATCCGGATCGACGGAATCTCGAACGAAACAGCCGGTCGCATGGGTGTACAAACCGACCATGAAGAAGAAAGCGAGATGATGAGTGTACCAAAACGCCTCGAAACATTGTTGTCGAACCGAAGCGTGAGCGGTGGTATAGATGAGAAGCATGATGAGCAACCTCGGAGTGAGCGCTAGGTCCAGCTAAAATCTGTCTAAAGTTGTACATGTCGAGAAACAGGATTGTCATGTTTGTAGAAGAACTCACATGACGTGACCTGTGAGTCCACCCGGTTGAGTATAGTGGATCTATTTCATCAGAAATGCTGACTTGCCAGTTGTAAAACTCACCTCCCACGCTGTCTGCTTTCGGACTTGAGTCCTCTCTACCTGTTCTTGATCAGTCATACGTTTGATAGCGATATCTTGACTCACGTTGATAAAGTTGACATAGTGCGCGGTAGTATGCACCATAGTCCAGAATAACATCTGGTAAGCTACTTGACGATGAAACTGACAGCTATTAGCAATTCTCCTGCGACGTCGTAGGCAGACAAGAAACTCACCCAGATATTCTCATCGGCGGGAAAGAGCCATTGTAATTTCGGTCTGACAAGTTTTATTATATTCCTCAACACTGTTCGTGAGCTAGAGTCAAATTTGCAACCCGTCTTCCGTTCCATTCCATCTTATGGAGAGATAGGTTACACGGGCGAAACTCAAGCCCAAGGATGATGAAGTATCGACGAATGAAATGCTTGACGACTCACTAGGCAACAGAATCATCCCCCCGTCAAACGCTAGGACCAGCCCAGCTCCACGAGATGTCCAGACCGAAAACTTCAATCCATTCAAGGCTGCGAGTCGTGTGTTGGTTTCTTGAGAGTACCAACCATAGGCGACTGTCCGTCAACTGGCGACTCTTCGAAAGCTCTATCGCATGTGTAAGCCTACCAGACTTCGCTTCCTACCACTTCGGGAGGCGATGGACATCTTGAAAAGAGGCATGTGATGCGGGAGGGCCTCGAGCTTGAGTGAATGACTCACATAGGAAGAAATGCACCCCATACCACAACACATTCCATATCAACCTCCTCCCCGTCTGTACATCAGTGTCCTCCGACCCGATGTTTTCTCTAGACGTACAAGTTCGCGCTTGAACAAAGTTCCAACTGACATGACACTTGATGATCTATTTTCAAGACTATAAAGTGTAAAGAGCGAGGCGCCAGCGCCGATGAATGTTGAGCAAAATAAAGTAGTAAGTAACGACGAAAGAGTATCAAATCTGCCAGCTTTATGTCAGTAAAAGAGAGAGAGAAGCGAGGGAGACGGTCGTGAGGGCCATCAGGGGGATCGTATGATGCGTTCATGAGTAGACTTTGAAATACTTACTAGCAAGCTCGTCGCCTAGCAACGTTCAAGCAGCCGACAGTTAACCTTGACGACGCATTATCTTGTCCAAGAGACGCAAATGAACTTGATATTAAAACAATAGACGCCTCCGATTCTCTTTCACCGATCGTTCACAAACTATCACCGTCGAGTTACACATGGTCCATCGTCTATCTAGTCTAGTCAGTGGTTGGTCAGCCAGTCACGCACCATGCACCATGACCAAAGATCTGTATGCACAATGAACAATCCCATCTCATCTCAGATGCTTCCTGTACAATGAAATGACTATGCGCAAGAGATATCTCCTATCTGGCAGATGCCATGGCCTTTTGCATGGCCCTCTTGACGCCCAACTGTGCCTTCTTGAGCTCATCCGCGCTCGCATCCTCCTGCTCCAACTTCTCCAGCGCCTTGGCGATTTCAGCCTCGACGGCACCGCGAGCACCGCGCTTCATCTTCGAGGCTAGTTCGGGCGCCGAGATTGACTGCTCGCAGGTGTGCAGATACGCCTCGAGTTCATTCCTAGCTTCGTGTCGGGCCGAAAAGTCCTTGTCGGCGTTTTTGAACCTGAAGGGTCAGCATGCTGTCATGAGATCCGGCTTGAAACTCACTGTTCTGCGTCCTTGATCATGGCAGAGATCTCTTCGGATGACAATCGACCGACAGAGTTTTGAATAGAAATTTGGGCCTTGCGACCGGAGGCTCGGTCCTGAGCAGACACCTTGAGCAGACCATTGGCGTCAACTTCAAAAGTGCACACAAGCTCGGCTTGACCTCTTGGCATGGGAGGGATTCCGGAAAGCTCGAACTCGCCTAAAAGTCGGTTGTCCTTGCATTGCGTTCGCTCACCCTCGTAGACTGGGAACATGACGGTGGTTTGATTATCCTCGACCGTGGTGAAGACTCGAGATTTGTTGGCGGGAATGGCGGTGTTACGGGGAAGGACAACACCGAAGATGTCACCCTGCATGGCAACACCCAGAGACAGCGGGGCGACGTCGAGGAGGAGCAAGTCGGCAGTCTTGTCCGAGCTCTGACCGGTGAGCACGGCGGCTTGAACGGCGGCACCGTGAGCGACGGCCTCATCTGGATTGATGGATTTGTTCAGTTGGCGACCTCCAAAGAACTCGGAAACGAGGGACTGAATTTTGGGGATACGAGTAGAACCGCCTACAAGAACAATGTCGTCGACCTTGCCGGCAGCAATCTTGGAGTCTTTGAGGACTTTTTCAACGGGCTCAAGGGTGGATTTGAAAGCAGCGGCATTGATTTCTTCGAAACGAGCACGGGTGATACTTGCGGAGAAGTCGGTGCTGGCGTACAAAGAATCAACTTCGACCATAGTTTGAGAAACTGAGGAGAGGGTACGCTTGGCACGCTCGCAAGCTGATCGGAGACGACGCATGGCACGGGGGTCATCAGAGATGTCGTGCTTGGTTTTGCGCTTGAACTCGGCTTTGAAGTGCTCGAGCAACGTGTTGTCAAAGTCTTCGCCACCGAGATGTGTGTCACCAGCCGTAGCCTTGACCGAGAACACCTTGCCGTGGATGGTAAGGAGTGACACGTCAAAGGTACCACCTCCAAGGTCGAAGATGAGCACGGTACGCTCCTCCGTGGAAGTATCGTCAAGGCCGTAGGCGATGGCAGCAGCAGTGGGCTCATTGATGATACGCAAGACCTCAAGACCAGCGATGGCACCAGCGTCCTTGGTTGCCAGACGCTGTGAGTCGTTGAAGTAGGCGGGGACGCTGCTCGTGAGCTTTTGAGGCCGTAGGACGAACGCGGTCACTCACGTGATGACAGCCTTGGTGACGGTCTTACCCAACTTGGCTTCCGCAATCTCCTTCATCTTCATGAGGACCATAGCCGAGATCTCTTGAGGTGAAAATTGCTTGGTCTCGCCGAGGTACTCGACTTGAATATAAGGTGAGCCGTCCTTGTCGATGACGGTGAAAGGCCAGTGCTGATTGTCAGTACATAGATGTATGACCTATGAGAGTAGAACGGACCTTCATGTCTTTCTTGACGTCGGGGTCATCGAACCGCCGACCAATGAGACGTTTGGCATCGAAGACGGTGTTACGGGGGTTCATGGCGGACTGATTTTTGGCAGCTGATGGGTCAACCACCGGTCCACAGATCCACAGAAAGAGGCTCACCATCTCCGATAAGACGCTCGCCTTCGCTGAAGGCGACGTAAGATGGTGTGGTTCTGTTACCTTGGTCTGAAGTCGTCAGCTTGCACAAAGGAGTCTTTGTGAAATTAGCACACCATTGGCGATGATCTGAAAAGTCAGCGGGAGCTCATTCCCAAAGAAATCAGGGAGCTGGAACTCACCTCGACACGCTCATGAGACATAACACCGACACAAGAGTAAGTAGTACCAAGGTCTACACAAGTCAGTTGAATGATGCTAAAGGTCGGAGGAAATACTGACCGATACCAATGGCACCTTCGAAAACGTCCTCAGCCGACATGATGCAAGTAGTGGCTCTGTTACTTCAGCTTCCTTCTCAATAATTCCTCGTGCCCAAAATGAATGGAAAAAGCTCTCACTGTGTTTGTTGGCCTTTTGGAGAGTAGAAAAGAGAAGGATAAAGGAAAACGCTCAGATTTCAACCATGATGAAAAAGTTGAAGACTCAGGTTTCGAAATTACCGTCAATCTCCGAGTGTGGCATCTCGCTTGACCATAGATAGGCACGACCTCGCCAGGTGCCACGTGGTGGATTCCCGATTGAAAGTTGCCAAACCCAACGTCATCCTTCTCATTGGGAATTTGCATTGTAAACTTTGCATGTTTCTTCGCCTCTCTTCAGCTGTATCGACCCTCTCTCATCTCCCTTCACCTCTTCGTAAACGACCATTCAGCCACGCCATGTCTGTACCTCCGTTCACCCGTCTGCACAAAGAGGCAGACCTGGGTGTTCTCTCCGTCCTGCGAGCCTGTCACCTGTCAGTGTTCATGATGCTCTCGGACCCGCTGATGGCAGGACAAAAGCTGTGCAGAATGTCTTGGTCAAGGACGATACCATACTCAAGGCGGATAGGTCGCCTGTGACGGGCGAGTCTCCTCAGACCTTGACCATACTCAGACTGACAAACAGCCGCTGATCTCTCGGCTCAAGCACTGATATCTTTGCATCTACGCTCACACTTTCCCTCAGATCTCATCATCGGTGAAGAGGACACTTCGGAGCTTCGATCAAACTCATCTCTGCTTGACCGAGTGATTGGTCTGGTGAATGACAACTTTCAGGTAGAGGAGGGATGGGGAAAGAATCAGCAGTGGAGTCAAGAGGAGTAAGTCCCAGCATTGACCTGACGGACGTTGTTGAATGCAACCAGGATCCTCGCCGCTATCGATGCTGGATCTGCTTCCGGAGGATCTAAAGGGAGATACTGGACCATTGTGAGCGCTGGGTACATGTGGTGATGTGCGCAGCTGACTGATAGGATCCTGGTATGTATGTTCGGTAACGTTGATAGTGGATTGACCCTCGCAGTGGACGGAACGTCAGGTTTCATCCGTCATCAGCAATACGCCGTATGCTTAGCTCTAATCATTGACGGCGAGGTGGAGTTAGGAATCATCGGCTGCCCGAATCTCGGCGCAGAACCGGCAAAACTGGGTGAAGAGGTCATTCCCAATGGTCAGGGAGTGTTGATGATCGCTATCAAAGGGGAAGGCAGCTGGTCGGTGAGTCAATCACTATACTGCGCGGGACTGTCAGACTCATCTTCAATAGCGTCCTCTTTCTACCCCATCTTACACTCGCATATCCTTACCATCTTCCCCTTCCGAACCTTCTCCCCTCACATTCCTCGAGTCCGTCGAGGCTGGTCATTCGGCACATGACATACAAGCCAACATTGGCCGACTCCTTGGCGTTCAAAGGCCAAGCTTGCGTATGGACAGTCAGGCAAAGTATGCTTGTCTAGCTCGCGGTGAGGGTGGTATCTAGTGAGTTTCCTTGGTCAACGTTCTCCACGATTTTCGGTCTTGCTAAGAGGATACGATCCCGCATGACTGATTTATGCTGATCATTCAGCTTGCGGATACCCACCAAATACTCCGGGGGCAAGGACTACATCGAACGGATCTGGGATCACGCTTCAGGCTGTCTCCTCATTCACGAATCCGGCGGGGTATGCACCGACATGCACGGCAAGCCGTTGAAATTTGGTGTGGGTCGAACACTTGCCGAAAACGAAGGTATCGTCGCTGCTGGCCGTGATACCCATCCAAAGGTCATCGCCGCTGTCAAGCAGGCTATCGAAGCCGCTCGGAGATGATAGGCGAAGTGAAGGGAAGTGGGTGAATCATATCATGGACATGAGATCATACATATCTGTGCATCAAGCTATACGACTTTCGCATCGTTACTGGAACCTCGTGACACGCCGTCATCCAGAGGCCTGATTATCGAATTGACATACTTCACGCTAGCCTCACTCCTCTTGCTCATTGTACGAGCCACTTTGCCTTTCTCACGCATCGCGAGCGAGTGCATGGACATGATCGACGTCCTATAACTGACTGTGAGCAATTCTCTCCATCATTCACCTACCCGTGACATACCTCGTTTGTTGCTTCTGATATTCCTCCATGATTTTGAGCTGCGCTTCCTCGGATTGACGATGCATCCTGACCAAACCCCACAGAATCATGCCCGTGGCTATGGGTCAGCCTCATTCACAAGGCCATGCTTCTTCCCGGGAGATACTTACCAATGATCACCCCGGTGCTTGAAAGACCATACAGCCACCGTGGGATATGCACTCGGCTGTTTGGTGGGTCAACACAATTTCCCACCAGAGAGGAGCCATCCTGCTGCGTCTGTGCAGTGCAAGTGTACTTGTCGTCAGCCTTTTCGATACTTAGAACATGAAAAAGACATACTGAACCACATTCTTGATCCTCCCAACAGGAGTCTCCCACATCCTTCACCGGTAGACATTGAGTCATAGTAACGTTCTGTACGGTCAGATGCATTCATAACCGACAAGGGGCATGTGACATACGCAGTAACCTTGACCTTCGATGCAATTATCTCTGGTAATGCTCGTATTGAAAGCTGTACCGTCCGTATCAAACCCTGTGTATGTCTGATCTAAGTCAGACACTTTCCTCTCCAATACAGGAAGAGAGCAACTCACTGTACTCTCAGTCTCGCAGGTCCCACCGAGACCTACGTTCTCCCACCTGATATCAGCACAGTCCATCAAGCTGATGGTACTTGAGTAGCATAGGGTAAGTAGTAGAGGAAGGACTAACATACACACTCCCAGCAGACAAATGGCACCTTTTCCAACTCCCACCTCATCAGGCTTGACAGCAAACGGTGTACTCGGTGGCTCACATTCGTCTTCTCGTGAGTACGATTCGGTTCTTGCCGATGCCGAGAAACAAGGAGAGGAAAACCTTACCGTCCCTGTTGAGTTCACACCTACCTCCCAACGGAACCCAAGGTAAACAGCCAGAAGCATCGTCAGGACAGAACATGCCTTCCGGACAAAGTGGTGGTGTTGGAATACTGGCGTCCAGCAGCGATGTCAAAACATACTCATCGCGTCTATCACCATCAGCTCTCTCCACTGTGTGTTGAAATCTGTACAGTAGAGGGTGACATGGATGACGTACCGACATTGTCTGGGAAAGCAAGTGCCGTTCGACGTGCAGACTGTGAATCCAAATCAGCTTGTATACGGTCCAAAAAGAAAACTCACAGCCGAAGGAATCGCAGTCCGTCTCGAAGGCTTTGGTATTGACATCAAGGTGATTGTTGGCGATATCGCAAGCTCCGTATAGGGCCACTCGAGCTGTATAACAGTGAAGGAGAGGAAGAATTAGTATGGTGAGTAGGGGAGCTGACATTGGGGAATACCGTAGCTCGAGAGAGATAAACTAAAAGAAGTCAGTCACGTAGGGCTAAGTACTCAAGTCGGAATGACGAGAGCGGTGTTAACGGAATGCAAGGTCAGACTCGGAGCTAGGAAGAGTTGTGTGTGATGACACCATGGCTGGAGCGAATATGAGAGTGAGACTGCCAGATAAGCAGATATGCCGACGGACATGATGAGGAGTCAAGGAGAGATATAGGAAAAGCTTCTCGAACGGTGACCACTAGTCATCTCGGTGTCATCGAGTGAGCCAACGGATGCAACGGAATTGACCGGTCGCAAGGACATCATCACGACAAGCTACATAATAGCTGCCGGGCTACCTATCATGATCACCATGATCTTTGTCCCTCTCCCTCTTGCGTATACACTCAAGTGGGCACACCGCTCCCATATCCTTCGACAATGTCCGCTTATGGATCCATAGCCGCCCCCGAACCCAAGACGACTCTAGCAGTCAGGACATGGGATATCAAAAACCCAGACTGTCTTCTCTGGACATTTCCTGTCGTTGGCTCAGATGCTCCCTCTGAATTACTTCATCATGTTCATCACTTACTAAATACAGAAATCCAAGGTCGGTTCTATCTTTTGTTTCTGCTACTTATCCGATGACTAACCTGGCTCAGACGGCAAAACCTACCCTCAAGAAACTCCATTAAAATACGAAGAATTCGTTGCCTATTACTTTTCAAGCGTGACGATCATTGGACTACTCGTATCCGTCGAAAACAATCCTCCGGAGACTTTAGAAGAGGCAAGATGTGGGCAGAGCTGGGAAGTATCACTGGGAGGAACGTATTACATGTCGGTACATCTTCTCCGTCTTGTAAGGTTGCTGACACAGTCACGTAGAAAGCCGAACTACCCCGGAAGAAGCAGTCATGTGAGTTTTTCAACGTCCAACTGCCCTTGGGAGAAGAATTGATAGCCAGATTTGTGTGAGTCCATGCCCGTCTCCGTCAGACTAGAGAGGAGTTTGATCAATGAGAATGCTGGTTTTCTAGTCCCAGAACAACACAGAGGACGGGGAGTGGGCGCTGCTCTGGCAAAGAGCTTCTGCGAGTACGCTCCTCAATTAGGATACAAATCCAGTGTCTTCAACCTGGTGTACGCAAGTAAGTTCGTTCAACTCGAATCCCTATTTTAGCTGACACGCAAGATAATACTGCGTCCCTCCGGCTTTGGGATTCTTTAGGTTTCAGCCGAGTAGGACTGATACCGCAAGCCGGACGGCTAAGAAGCGGCCCAGAGGGGGGAGAAGAGTATGTGGACGCTGTGGTGATATACAAGAGCTTTGTCTAGGTATCAATCACTCCGACATGCATGGTAGAGAACAAGCGAGAAGCCTATATGGTTGCTTCTTCTGCTGACGAAACCGTGCTAGCTGCGGGAGTGGAATATGGTACAGGCTCGAGAGGTGGGAAGATGTGATCCCTGTAGAATTTGAGTTCCCGTATGCTTCCTTGGATATCGTCCAAGGCTCTGACGTATTAATTCAACGTCTCCGTCGTGGGCGAGTAAGGACGCAAAGAAGACAGAAAAGATTGAACGGACCGATGTGCCACCTCTCCTTCCCGACTATCACTTTCTTTCTTTCGAATTGAGGGATACCATCTTCGACATATCTCTTTGATAGAGCTGACGTCTGCCCGTGAGCTTGCCCTTACCAATCTCGGTCAATAAGCAAATTCCATGAGTAGTATGACTGACCGAGAATGCGGTATGACAAATGATCGGTGATACTAGGCATGTAGCGGACTAAGAACCTGGAGTTCGTCAATTCACCCTACTCCTGTCCAGAGGGAGTGAGAACTCACGCTTTATCAAGATGGACCGAGCTACCAGCCAGTAACCCCGCTCCTGGCTCAGGTATCCATCTCATTATATACTCCTTGACCGTTTTTTCGACTTCTTGATGCGTATGAGGCGAAGAGAGGCATGCGGCAGTAAGACCGCTTTTGCCGTGTTGTTCGACACACCATTCCCCCATACTGAGTGTAAGCATTCGTCTCTTTGTTCCATATCGTTGATATCTAAGCCAGCTGTTGAGCTTCAATATGGTTTGATTGGCTTTCAGTACAACTCGTTAAAGACGCAGCGAATGAGAAGGAACACCATAGGACGAAAGATTCCTTGACTCACCTGTCCAACACCGCCTCCTCAGTCCGAATGACATAGTCAATCCCCTCATCGACAGGATTGAGCTTCCCATCGGTTATGATCACAGCAATCTCCAATAATTGATCTCTCGTCGCGTCCAGGCCCGTCATCTCGCAGTCGATCTGGACGTCAGGTCCGACCAATTTGATGATTGCGGTGGAAGGGATTAACGTTAATCCCGTTCGGACAGAGCGTCTGTGGGACCAGCCCTTGACACAACACTCACCCACACCAAAGGACCGTCATCGTATGTGAAAGGCGATGATCGCGACATGACCATAACACTTGATAGAGGTCACTGCAGGATGCCAAGTTGTTGAAGGTTGTCCGTCTAGAGTCTAGTAACCAGAGATGACATATCATGCGGGACCCCATTTGTAAGACGCGATTGATCAGTACCAAAAACGTCTCCAATGTAGAAAGTCAATTGAAGAGAAGAGTATGCATTCTGTCATTCTATCTACCTATTTATCTATCTAAAACCTATCCTGCTGAATCATCTGCTTAGCAATGAATGAATAAGCTGATGAGTCATCTATCTAAGAAGCTGTCATAACCCTCAAATATCTGTAAATACCACGTGCATATCATCCACTCAAGTCCAGTCAACTTTACTCAAATCGTCTCAACTCGTTCCATCGTATGACATGTGGATCACCATTCAACCTTAATCACCCTCCCATCACTGAGTCAACCAGACTTGACATTGTATACATCAATCACGTCATCTGTCGTCATCTGTCGTCATCTGTCGTCATCTGTCGTCATCTGTCGTCATGTTACGACCGAGAGTGTCACGAACTACGTCGTAACATCCCTGACAACCACCATCACCGATCCTCCTTTCACCATCACCGACCTTCCTTCCACCATCACCGACTTCCACTCGAACCACTGAGACCAACTACGGCAAAGTTACGAGAACCAAGAGGGTATTTGTCACAATAACCCCGTCGAGCGGAGAACTACGGCGAAGTTAGGGGAAGGGAACCGAGGGAGAGCAGAACAAGGGAAGTTAGGTGAAGTTAGTCAAAGTGAGAGGAGTAGGACATCGGGGATATGGCGAGGTACGGCCAAGTTGAACGAAGAGGACTGAGCGTGAGGCAGTGCAGGAGTTGAGGGACGTTCTATGAGGAGAGAGGAGTAGTATAGATGGTTTACAGATCGCTGAACTTCTTCAGCGATCCTTGATTGTTGTCAGTAGCGAGTGATATATTCAGTAGCTACAACCTTCGAGATAAGGAGAGCTACCATCGAGCATTTCGACGTACCACGGCGAAGTTAGCCGCGGTTCATCAACGATCATCCTATCATTTACCACTCGACGTATCACTACGACGAAGTTAGCCGTAGCTCCCCAACGAGTACCCTGTCCTAGTGAGACATCGACGCCCCACTATGACATAGTTAGCCGAGGTTTTGTCGACCGTCGGTCAGTAGAGCAGAAGAAACAACGATTGTGACAGAGAGCTAGGCAGTGACCTGACCTAACTTCAGTGGACAACGACGACAAGAGACAAAGTGATAGCGTAGAGTGGATTGGACGATAACAATAGAAAGTATCTGAGTGTAGGATAAAGGGTATGTCTGAAGTCACTTAGACAATGTCACGAACTACATTGTAACATCCCTGACAACCACCATCACCGACCCTCCTTTCACCATCACCAACCACCACCCAAACCACTGAGACCAACTACGGCGAAGTTACGAGAACCAAGAGGGTATTTGTCACGATAACCCTGCCTAGCGGAGAACTACGGCGAAGTTAGGAGAAGGGGACTGAGGGAGAGCAGAACAGGGGAAGTTAGGCAAAGTTAGGCGAGGTGAGCGGAGTAGGACATCGGGGATATGGCAAGGTACGGCAAAGTTGAACGAAGAGGACTAAGCGTGAGGCAGTGCAGGAGTTGAGGGACGTTCTATGAGAAGAGAGGAGCAGTATAGATAGTCTACAGATCGCTGAACTTCTTCAGCAATCCTTGATTGTTGTCAGTAGCGAGAGATATATTCAGTAGCTACAACCATTGAGTTAGGGAGAGCTACCACCAAGCAGTTCGACACACCACAGCGAAGTTAGCCGCAGTTCATCGACGAACACCTTATCATTTCACCACTCGACGCATTACTACGGCAAAGTTAGCTGTAGTTCCCCGACGAGTACCCTGTCCTAGTGAGACATCAACGCCCACTACGACGTAGTTAGCCGAGGTTTGTCGACCGTCGGTCAGTAGAAGAGAAGAAACGACGACCGTGACAGACAAAGTGTGTGAGTGTAGCAAGTGCAACGAGGACAGGAAAGGATTTGAAGTGTAACTTTTGAGAATTCATTGACAAAGAAAAGAGAAGCTATGAGTGCTGTTTATATACACATGCGCCTCCACTTCTTATCTATGATGGCCCAATCATCCAACTAACCAATGCCAGCCTAAGGCTGTCCTTTTACTCAGGGAAGAGATAAGGATTAGTCATGTGCGGGAACACTTACTCAATCCATGGGAGAATTACTACTTTAGGAAGGTGGAGGTTCAGGGTCTAGATAAGGATGAGTCATGCGTGGGAACGCTTACTCAATCCATGGGAGAATTACTACTTTAGGAAGGTGGAGGTAGATAAGAGAGATAAGGAGTGATAAGGCTCCCAATATGCCACGTCATGCCTCTTATCATCACTTCGTATAAGTAATATCGTGTGAGAAAAGATCAACAGGGACCGGAGAATTTCTGCAATCCAGTCGGAAGTTTTTCCAACCTCTGGTGTCTTTCTGACCTCTTGAGCTTTCCACCCTCTCACCCTTTTTGCAAGTCCAGCCGCACCCGACTCTCCCCCATGACTTTGATGCATACAGTCCGAGTCCTGGAACTGTGACCTGACTTTCGGCACTTGACACAACTGGACCTGAGGCCTCACTCACTCATTCATGACGGAACTTGACTTGACTGGACTGATGGAGCCACTGACGGCTCTACCCGGCTGTCAAGCACAGTTTGTGAGATCCTCAACCCTCCTTTAGCCGTCACTTCCCAATCACTATACAAATACTCTTGAACAGCCGCTTCAAAGATTACCTTATTGTTTATCACTTGATGTACTACCACTGTGTAGTTAGCCGTAGTTCCCCAACAAGTACCCTGTCTCTGTGAGGCATCAACACCCCAGTACAACGTAGTGAGCCAAGGATTGTCGACCGTCGGTCAGTAGAGAAGAGGAAACAACAATTGGGACAGCTCCACATGTGCTCATTATGAGTTCATACATGTTCATCATGAGTTTGTACGTGTTCCTCATGAGTTTGTATGTGTTCATCATGAGTTTGTACGTGTTCATCTTGAGTTCATACATGTTCATCAAAAGTTCTTATGTGTTGTACATGTCTGCATGTCACGACTTGGCTAAGCAGCACCTGGCCATGCATGTGACATTGTCACGAACTACGTTGTGACACCTCGATTATTCCACCAACAATGACCCTCCTTTGACCATCAAAACCCCCATCACGCCTTAACCTCTTTACTCTACACGTAACTCAGGACATCTGAGACCAAGTATGGCGAAGTTAGACGGAGTTAGGCTAGGTAGGGACAAAGGGAGCAGAAGTGCGGCGATGTTAGGCGGAGTTAGTCGAAGGAGGACGAGGATGGCCGGGGACTCGGGGAAGTTGGACGAAGTGCGTTGAAGTACGTCAAAGCGCAAGAGGGTTGGACGAACGTCTAGGAGGAATAGATAATATTAGCTGAGAAGATCGCTGAAGTTCTTCAGCGATCCTTGATTGTTGTCAGTTGTCACAATCATTGTTTCTTCTCCTCTACTGACCGACGATTGACAAACCTCGGCTAACTACGTCGTAGTGGGGTGTCGGTGTCTCACTAGGACAGGGTACTCATCGGGGGAACTACGGCTAACTTCGCCGTAGTAATACGTCGAGTGATAAATGATAAGATGATCGTCGATGAACTGCGGCTAACTTTGCCGTAGCACGTCGAACTGCTCGGTGGTAGCTCTCCTTAACTCAATGGTTGTAGCTACTGAATATATTGCTCGCTACTGACAACAATCAAGGATCGCTGAAGAAGTTCAGCGATCTGTAGACTATCTATACTGCTCCTCTCTTCTCATAGAACGTCTCTCAACTCCTGCACTGCCTCACGCTCAGTCCTCTTCGTTCAACTTCGCCGTACCTCGCCATATCCCCGATGTCCTATTCCGCTCACCTCGCCTAACTTTGCCTGTTCTGCTCTCACTCGGTTCCCTTCTCCTAACTTCGCCGTAGTTCTCCGCTAGGCGGGGTTATCGTGACAAATACCCTCTTGGTTCTCGTAACTTTGCCGTAGTTGGTCTCAGTGGTTTGGGTGGTAGTTGGTGATGGTGAAAGGAGGGTTGGTGATGGTGGTTGTCAGGGATGTTACGATGTGGTTCGTGACATCAGTAGTGAAAGACAGATAGACATAGCTATATACAAATCGAGATACATCGCCATCAGTAGAACAAAACCCCAGTTAGAGTAACTACGCCAAAGTAGGCTGTAGTTATACTCCTTTCGACGTCTGCGCCCTCCTGGTTGGGTGAGACATCGACTTAGAAGCGCCAAGTTAGCCGAGGTTTGTCAACCGTCGGTCTGTTAGAAGGTAGTTGTTTGACGGTTGTGACATAACGGTTTGAGGATGTAATTTACGTTGATTTACAGACCCTGATTTCCACTGTCTCACATCTATCGTTTTTAGCACATCTTAGATACATGAAACCTTAAAACAGATCAAAATGTTGATTCCTGCAGGGACGTTTTCTAAACAACGACGTAGTCCTGATTCCTGCAGGTTATATGTCTGTTGTGAGGTTTCATACTCTTTTGACTGTTCTACAATGCCCTTGGCTACAAGTAAAAATATTTTAACCACAGTTAGCACTCACAAGCAATAGTTGGCAGAGATTAGCAAGAATGAGCAAAACTTAGCAGGAATCTGCAGAATAAAATTTATGCAAAGGTAATGCTACACGAGAAAATACATTACTGTACAATACTAAACAGATATGCATTCTTTGGCAGATGCTTTACTCCACCAATGTTGTAAGGCGTCTAAAGATGGACTTGGTAAAGTATGTCTATGTTTATCCCAAACCTTTGCTGCTTCAACATCTCCTATTGCTCTTGTCTCAGCTAAACGTCGAACTGCTCGAATAATGCTGATACGTCTCCTATAAAAACATTTTTTGGTCTTGCTTGCATTCTTCAGTCCATTAGGGTTATCTTTGTACTGACCTTTAATTGATGGGCGACCA